ATATGTATCTTTGAATACTTGGGTGAGAATATTTACAGAAAAAAAATTGTTTTCCATTGTAAACGCTGGATCACTTATCAAAACACAAACGTATGTTTTAAAATTTGACAGAAATGTCCAACTGCCCTTCAAACTCTACTTTTTGACCTGATAACAACGTCCTCTGTTACTTTATTATTTTTTTAATTTAAAAAGCCACTTTGTTAAAGATTTAAGATGATAGAGATGGTAAAAAGCAAGCCAGATGGGCTCGGGAAAGAGGCTCTTTGGCTGAGTTAACTCTTGATCCCCCAAATAAACCCCCAAACCAGTTGCGCATGAACATGTAAATCAGACCCATGTTTTGGGTGCCCAGCGTTAACTTCTGTTTCCTGCCTGGAGAGCCCCCTGTAAACTCAACGATGGGAAGGCAGCTGGGCTGAGCTTCAGTGAGCACCCAGCGCCTGGAAGTCAGCCCCACCCCTGCCCTTCCACCCTGGACCCTCTCCCGCCATTTCCAGCCCTTGGAGAGGTCACCTGTAGGAGGAAGGAGCCAGGCTGGGTCATCGGAAAGGTCTCAGTTTCCATCTCAGTTCTAAGAGTGTCTCACGTCACTTGTCTGACTTCAGACAACTTGCTAAGACTCTCTGGTCCTCAGTTTTCCTAATCTATAAAATGGGTCCACTAAAACCTGCCTCACTGGATTGTGATGAGGGGCAGATGTAGGAAAGGATGTGAAAGTAACTGGTTTTCCTTCTTTCTGTTTTGGGTTTCCCAACAGGTCTACAGCTGGGGAGTAGGGGAGCCCAGTCTGGGGTTTTCTGACCACAAGTGCTTTCCCAGAAATAGTCTTCTTCGAAGTTATTATTTTTTTTTTTTATCTGAACACGTTATACATGGACATGATACAAAATTCAAAGGGTCTAAAAGGGTAAGAAAGAAAAGCAAGACTTTCCCACTCCTGACCCCCTCCCAAGTCCCTGCCCTAGGGGCAGCCTTTGTCATCTCTTTCTTGTGTGTTCTCTCTGGGTGTTTTGTGCATTTTTGCCTCTACACCTTGCCTGAAACAAACAAACAAACAAACAAGCAAACAAAAGGTTGCCAGTGTTTCTTGAAGCTTTTCCCCCATCAGTGCATAAGGAGCTTCCTCGTTTGTGTGTGTGTGTGTTTTTATGTCTACTTTTTACTTTGAAAGTTTCAATACTATAAAAAAGTTGCAAGAAGAGGAACATGAGCACCCACAGTTTTAAACTTGGATTCACCAATTATTAATATGTGCTGCCTTTGCTCTGTTTCTCTTCTCTTTCTTTCTTTTTTTTTTTTTTTAAAGATTTTATTTATTTATTTGACAGAGAGAGATCACAAGCAGGCAGAGAGGCAGGCAGAGAGAGAGAGGAGGAAGCAGGCTCCCTGCCGAGCAGAGAGCCCGATGCGGGGCTCGATCCCAGGACCCCGAGATCACGACCTGAGCCGAAGGCAGCGGCCCAACCCACTGAGCCACCCAGGCGCCCCATTCTCTTCTCTTTCTAAACTTTCCAAGAGCCCAGAGTTAGTTCAGCAGCTATCTACTAAGAAGGACATTCTCCCGCATAACCACAACACAGTGATCACACGCAGGAACGTCAACACTGATACAATGCTATTATCTAATATACAGCCCATAATCGAATTTCCCCAGGTGTCTAAAATGTCATTTTTAAGAATCCAGATTCCAACGAAGGATTGCTCAGTGCATTTAACTGCCGTGTCTGTTTAATCTCATTCAATCTCTCAGCCTATTTTGTCTTTTACCACCATCAACATTTTTGAAGGTCTAGGACAGTTTTGCAAAATATCCCTCAGTCTGGATTTCTCGGACAGTTTCCTAAGCATTTTTTTTTTCTTTTTTTTTTGCAGGGTGTTAGGATGTTAGGACGGCATTATGCTCCTTATTGTCAATGGCACATAGTATCCCAGTGCGCTACAATTTATGTAACTTGTCCTTTACCCATAGAGGGAAACATGGTTTCCAATCATGTTTCACAAACAATGCTGCAGTGAATATTCTGAAACTTCTGTCATTTTGAAACTGTCCAGTGTGTGTAGGATAAATACTTAACCAGTGGGATCCCTGCACCTACACAGAATCCCCTTTATAAAGGATACATTCATTACTACTCCCACTAATACTGGGTGAGGACACTAATACTGGGTGAGGACACTCGCCTCAGAAGGCCGTCTTATTTTTTAACTTGCATCTCACTGTGCCCTAGCTGGTAAGGTCACACATAGTCGTCAGGTCTCTGGGTGAGAAGATTACCTTACATTTCCTTACATGTCCCCCTGGAACTGGCAAGAAATCCTACTTTCCAAAGACAAAGTCCCAAGTGCTCCAGAGGAGCACAATTAAAAAAAAATTTTTTTTTATTTATCTATTTGAGAGAGAGAGAGAGCACAGGAGCGGGGAAAGGGGCAGAGAGAGAGGGAGACGCAGACTCCTGGCTGATCAGGGAGCCTGCCCTGGGGCTTAATCTCAGGACCCTTAGACCATGACCTGAGCCGAAAACAGAGGCTTAACCCACTGAGCCACCCAGGCCCCTCCATCCAGTGCCCCTGGAGCACCATTCTTGCTCGGGGTTACAAAAAACATCCCTATGCTCTGTGAGGTCTGATTCAAAAGGGAGGAGGGATTGGTTAAGCAAGAAAGGCGTGTTAAGCACCTTGTTAGTTGCTTGATGGGTCTTATCAAGCCTGCCAAGGAAAAACTATTAATTTGCCCATTTTACAGATAAGGAAACTGAGGTTCAGGGAGGTTACAGCTGGTTTACTCCTCCGATTGAGGAATAACTGACTCAGGCCCGACTGGCGTCACAGAACCATGTATAGGTTTTATTCTCCAACCCCCTTGGGTGTTGGTGGCTGGGAGAGACAGAAACAAAACCTACAAATTCACGCCAAATCTAAAAATTGTTAACCCCCAACCACCGCCTTTGGTTAGGGTGAATCACCTCGGCCACCGCCGCGAGTTCTCAGATCCCTTGAAAACTACTCTCCCCAACATGCATCGCTCTCACAGACTCTTCCGGCCTCTGCGGACTACATTTCCCAGAACACAGTGCGCCCACACGGGCTCACTTCCGCTTCTGGGCCCGGCGTTTCCTGGGTGTTGCGGTCTCTGTGCAGTGCAAGGAGTAGCTTGGGGCTGTCATCCCCACAGGGCTCAAAGGCGTGTGGTGGGAACAGATGTCAGACTTATAAGCCAGGAGACACGGGGGAGGGGGCCCGAAAGCACTTTCCGCCTCCCTTTAGCCAGCAGGCTGGCTTTGTTAGTGGGAGCAACGCCCCGGGAGCCCTCGGCTGAGTGACCCACTTTGGGGTTAGTAGAGTTCCCTTAGGATCCTGGCATTCGCTTACAGTTTTCTAAGGGCCGTGAGAGCCTGTCCTCTATTCTGTGACTCCGTGTTGCCTCCCTGAGACACCCGCTCCCTTCCACGCAGGAAAGAAAAAGAAAGGAAGGAAGCACCCCTAACCCGCTGTCTTGTTCCTACCCATTGTTGCCCCCCGCAGCGACGCGGGCCCACTGTAGCCAGGGCAATCTCGGAAAGTTCGAGCACTCAGCCGCTTCCCATTCCATGGCTCCCCCTTGCTCTAGGGATCCCATTCAGACGCCACGTCATGTCGCGTGAGAGCAGACCTAATTTCACCTTATTCTACTCATCACCCCATAAATCCCCTCCAGCCTGGCTCCTGGAATGTGCCTTGCTCCCTCTAATCTCATGCCCTTTGGCCAGACAAGTGCCCGGACTGTGCTAACTTCTGCTCTTTGCATGGCTTACAGCTGTTCCCGTGTCATTCAGAGTACGACCCAACCCGGAGACAAAGCACCCCGGTTCTTTCAACTGAGCAAATGCAAAGAAGGGTCATGGGTTCCTAGTGACACAAAGCCGCTTCTACCCCCAGGGCTAGAAGAACAAAGGAAGCCGCTGACTGAAAATTTGGAAGGTGGGGGGAGGCTACTGGTGGGCTCTGGGCCTCTGAGGGGCTAGCCAGCTTAAACATCACCTCCCAAGAAAGGTGGTCCTGATCCTGGTACCCCCACCCCCAGCAGAGCACCCACCTTTCCCTTCAGAACACTGTCCATAGATAGCCATGTGGTGCTTGCATGTCCTGGTGTTTGACCCCGGTCTCTCCACCCGGCCCCCCAAAGCAGTGATTAGGCACATTGTACACCACTGGGTTAAGTGTCCCCCAGACACTTTGTGGACAGAATCATTTCTCAGAGACACTACACTGGGAGTTCCTGCGCTGGCTGGACTGGGACTCTGCCATGTATCTAAACTCTCCTTGAGGGGGCTCCTGGGTGGCTCAGTCAGTTGGGCGTCTGCCTTCTGCTCGGGTCATGATCCCAGGGTCCTGGGATCAAGCCCCATGTTGGGCTCCCTCTCAGCAGGAAGTCTGCTTTTCCTTCTCCCTCTGCGCCTCCCCCCACTCATGCTCTCTCTCCCTTGAATAAATAAATAAAATCATAACAAAACAAAACAAAACCCTCTCCTTGATCTTGAACCTGCTCTTCTCCCAGGACTTTGCTGGAATAGAGTGATCCAGAGGGGCCAAGATAGGCTCCTGGGCATAGGAGGTGGTGCCCCCTCCTGGGGTTGTACAGGTGAGGGTCAGCCCCCCGAGGAGGAGCTCAGCTTTAAGCACTCAGCCCTGGAGCCCTCTTGTCTGACCTTAAAACTGGGCTCTGCCTTGAACATGGCCTGGCACCTACTAGGGGCTCAGTAAGTAATGTGTCGAGTGAATGAATGGGACCTCACCTCTGTTACCCAGGACACTAGTCCGCTTGGAGTAATTAATTCTCTAGGTCATCTTTTAGCTGAGAAGGATGATACTGACTTAAAATGTCCCTGCCACGGTACATTTTATGTTATATGTTTTTACAATTTAAAAATGTTTTAACGGAACAACCCTTCCCCCGCTCCACTGCAGGTAATAAGGCATATGGTGCAGGGGGAAGTACAGCTGCTTTGGGGCCACACTACCTGAGTTTGCACTGAAGTGATTCCTCCTCCAGGCTGTGTGGGCTTGGGCAAGTCCGATGACCTCTCTGAACCACCATTTCCTCACCTGTAAAATACACCTCAAGTAACTTCAAAGCCCAGCACCGTACGTGGCACATCAAGGCACTTTATACATGTTTGTTTCCTCCTTTTTTTTTTTTTTAAGATTTTATTTATTTGAGAGAGAGATAGCCAGAGAGAACATGAGCGGGAGAAGGGGCAGAGGGAGGGGAGAAACAGACTTCCCGCTGAGTGGGGAGCCTGACTCGGGACTTGATCCAAGACCTGGGACTTGATCCAAGACCTGCAGAGCATGGCCTGAGCCGAAGGCAGACGCTTAATCTCTTAAATGACTGAGCCACGAGGCGCCCCTCCCACCCCGAGTTTGTTTCCTCTTGTTGTGAGCTCCAATCACAGCTCAAACAGAGAACCACCCTCTGACTCCCTGAGAGTGGGTCACTGGCCCAGCTCGGGGCTGGATCAAAGCCAAGGCTGAGAGGCCTGGTTCATGGGAGAAGGGGGCTGCCTTGTGGGGGGAACTCCCTTGCTCTATGAAGCAAAGAGGATACATGGATCAGAACCCTTTTCAAACTTGCTTAAGCAAAATGGGGAATTTCTTGTCTTACCTATTGGGAACTACCTTCAGGTCAAGTTGGATCGTGGGACTCAAAAGACCCTCATCAGGGTTGTCTTACTCATCAACCCAGTGACTGGGCAGTAGGGTGCAGTGACTCACAGGCTCCTGAGGGCAGGGCAGGGTTGGTGACTATGATTGAGAGCCCCACTGAATCAGCTCCCAGGGAAGAAGCTTTGATGTTACCAGAAGAATGAAAACGTGTAAGATAAGCAGTAAACCTTACTATCTGCCACACACTCTTCTAAGTACTCCTTGTTAACTCATCAAATCCTTCTAATAACCGTACAAAATAGGCATGATTTTCATCACGCCCATTTTACAGATGAAGAAGCTGAGGCACAGGGCGCCTCAGGTCACAGTCAGTGAGGGGCAGAGCTCGCATTTGGCCCCAGACAGTCTGGCTCCAAGTACCAACACTGTACCACTTCCTCATGCTGCCTCGCCGTATCAGACAGTGATAAGAGATGGTCCCGACAGGGGCAGCCCCAGACGGGGCCCAGCACTCTCCTGGAGTGGTACGGAGAGCAGCTGCGTCTGCAGGAGGCCCAGCCTTCAGTGCCTCTGCATCGGGAAAATGCTGGGAGCTCCTAGAGGACTTACCCCGAGTTGAGGACATCCCCAGGCTCCACCCCAGGGGCAAGAATCCTGGCTTGAAGAGCCAGATGCCTGCTTTGCCACTGCCATAAACTGGCTGTGTGACTTGGGGCCAGTCACTGCCCCTCTCTGGGCCTGCTTCTTCCTCTTGCAAATGAGCAAGTTGGGCCTGACTCCCCACCACTGAGGGTTCTCTCGGGGGAAAAGTTGGGGATGAACTGCTCCAACTTGTGGTTGGCCACAAACTGCTCTGTCCGCAGGTGCTGGGAAAACAAGGTGTCCCCTGCCCCCAGCACACTGGTGGCTCTGAGCTCCTGGAGGGACTTGGCCCCACTGTGAACCCTGCTTCCTCTCCCACGACCACCCTTTCCCCGAGGCCCACGTCACTCACCATGCCAGGGTCCACCCCGACTGGGCCAGGCCTGCGCCCTCCTGCCGCACCTTCTCCATCTGCTGGCTTCTCCTCCTGCAGGCATCACACACTCGTGGGGCAGTGGCTCTCCACGGAGGTGGTTTTGTAGGGTTTCTGGATTTAGCAAAGAAAAAGGCAACCTTTGGGACATAATGAGACCAAAAAGGTGTGAGTGGCTTATCTGAAACGTCACTGGGAAACCGGCCTTTTTGGTCTAGCAACCCTATACCCAGGGGACGTCTGTTGTATCTGGAAACATTTTTGGTTGTCAGAACTGGGGGTTTCCATGGTTGTGTCATGGGATGAGGCCAGGAGTGCTGTTCCAAACCCTCCCGTGTCCAGGGGGTCTCCACCACGGGGATTAATCCTACCGAAATGTCAGCAGTGCCGAGGCTGAGGAATTCCAGGTGCTCCCCAAAGCTAACCCGCATCCGTAACTGTGATCTCAGGGACTTGTCCAGACGCAGCTGTGGTCAGGGAATGGCATGGGGGCCTGGCCCTCCTGGGCTCCTTATGAGCAGGCCGGCGAGTCCCGGGGGAGGGAGGATCCCAGGTGCTGCCACAAGGGGGCAGCAGAGGCTTGGCAATGAGTCCGCACCCCCTGGCGTTCTAGGGGAAGGAACTGGTTATTCTTACAGACTCCTGGGTCCCCCCCACCCCCAGAGATCCCGATCCAGGGGGTCGGCCAGGCTCATGGGGCATTGGTATTTTTTGAACCGCTACCGGGTGATTGGCACGTGCAGCCAGGACTGTGAGGCCCCGTCTAAGGCCTTGTTTTTCATCCCTGGTAGCCTTGACAATACCAACGTGGATACTGTCTTCAATGCCCACCGACAGACAATGCATAAACTAAACGGGGTCCATCCAGACAACGGAAGGTTATTCAGCTGCAACAGCAATGAAGCTCTGACGTGCCTACAATGACGTCACTGTGCTAAGTCAATCAAGCCCGAGGCCCCGGGGTTCCATCCACTCCGCTGGGTCTGGAGCAGGGGGAACTCGGAGAGACGGAACATGGCCTCGCTGTGGGCTGGGGAGGGAGGAGTGGGGAGTCGGGTTGAACAGGTAGGGCTTCAGTTTCAGAAAACAAACATTTCTGGAGGGGAGGGGTCCACCACCTGAATAAACCCATTGCCACGGAGCCACACCTTCGAAAGAGGCTAAAACGGTCTGTTTTACAATGTGTACGCTTTACCACAGTAACAAAATGTGGTGGAAACAGAAATGTTATGGCTACAGTTTAAGATCTTCCCACAAAATGAACCCACAAATGTCCAGTCTCTGCTCAGAGCAAGTCCTTAAGAGGGCCTGGGGCTGGCACCCCGGCTCGGAGAGTGTCTAGCAGCGTCCCAGGTGAATTTCACAAGTGGGCTATGCGCTGAGATCATGCTAAGATCCCAGTGTCACGGAAGAACAGTGGGTACACCATCCCTTTATCTGTTGCCACAGTTTTAAAAATCTGTCCACAAGTTCTCTGATGCTCTTCCTTCCAGCGGTGGGTCCTAATTTGCCTCCCCTGAGCGTGGGCTGACGTCAGTTGACTTGCTGACATCAGAGACCTTAGTGATAAAGGTCCTCATAGTTTCGGCTTTGGTCGCTCACTGTAGAAAGAGCCACGTCATGAGAACACTTAAGTAGGCTTCTGGAGAACCAGTGGAGGAGAAACTGAGTCCTTCGGCCAACCGCAGTGTGGGACGCCATCGCAGAAGTGGGCCCTCCAGCCCGGGATGCCTTCAGATGAGACCGAGACCCTGGCTGCTGTCCCGATGGCAGCCCCATGGGAGCCCTGAGTAAGAACCACCCAGCCGAGCCCCTCCTGAGTTCCCACCCCACAGAAACAGTGAGATGATGCCTATTTGTTGTTCCAAGCCACTACATTTTGGGGTGATTTTTTACACTCTAGGAGATACTTAATACACCCACTCATGAGTCACTAAACCATCCACTCATCCTTTCCACGACCACCCATTCAGCCACCACCGACTCAGCTACCCATCTCCTCGCGTATCTGTCTGTCCAGCCACGAATCCATCCCCCCGTCTGGTCCTTCATTCATCACTTCCTCACCCACCCAGCCAGCCAGCCGCCCCTCCACCGTTCCTCACAGGACAAACAGACCCATGAAAATATCTGTCGCACGAGTGAGGAAACATTTTCTAGACCTCAATTCTATGGGACTTGCTAAGACAGGCCAAGGGACTTAGCGGGTTGGTCAGGAGGCTGGCCCCCTCCCTCAAAGGTGGAAGTCGGTTCCCCACCCGAAGCCCAGCCAGCCTCCTTTTGTCCTGCTGAGAACCACCCCGATTCCTCCCACAATCCTTTAGGCCTGTCTGGTAGGAAAAACCTCGTTCTCTCAACTGACCACCCCCACACCAGGGGGGGTGCCAATTCTACGGCTGCTGGCTGTCACTGAGGGCCATCAGCCTAGGGAAGGAAGACTGGGGACAGCAGGGCTCCTGCCCCACTCTGGAGGAGCCTGTGACCCCAAGATTTGGGCTTTTCTGGAAGCCGAGTGGAACAGCCAAAGAAAAGCCGGTTCCCTTCTTATGACAGGCCTCGTGGTCTCCTCCCTGAGAACATTAGAGAGGCCCAGGCCCTCCCCCAACACATACCTTTTTCCAGATGAATCCCATCTCATCCCTCAGTTTTCTCATCTACAAAGTGGGAATAATGAGGGTATTTGGGAGCTGAGATGACACGGTGCACAGGAGGGCCCTCAGCAAGGGGCCACTGGTGGCAGGTACAGAAGCATGCCTGCTGATCTGTGAGGACAAGAGTGCAGAGTATCAGTAAAACCCACGGCCTCCACGCAGCAGGCAGCAGACTCAGGAGACAATCCCCTCTCCTCTCTGCTTTGTTCACTCTGCTCTGGCTGCATCATCTCCTCTTCCTCTAACACTCCTTACCTGCTTTGACCTCAGGGCCTTTGCACTGGCTGTTCTCGTGGCCTGGAATGCTCTTCCCCCCAAATATCCCTTGGGTCCTCCCTCTCCTCCTTCAGGTCTTTACCCAAATTTCCCCTTCTCACTGACGCCTTCCCGGGGCACCTTTCCTCTATTCTCTCCATCCCCTTGTATGGGTTTTCTTCCCATCACATCTATCCTTTTAAGACACTACATCCTTTTTTGTATTAACTCTTGTTTCTTGCCCGACTTCTCCAGAACACAGACTCCCCAAGGGAGGGGTCTGGTCTTTATTCACTGCCAAGGGCAAAAGGCAATCCGAGTGTGACCCCTCCCCACCACTGCAACCAGGATTCTGTAAATCTACTTTAACACAAAAAAGTTCCTTTGGAAGCTTCCTTTATCTCTAAATCCCTGGAAGATAGGTTTTGGCAATCACCACCCCCCCACCCCCCTGCCTATGGCTTACCCAGATGCATCTGAAGGGTCTCATGACTAAGGTTTTATCAGATGGTAATAAATGACCTTTTCCCACAACAGCTAGCCCCTCAAGGTCCTGGAAAGCTTGCTTCCAAAATTCCTTAGAGATTTCTGCTATTCCTAACCCCCTTCCCACTTGGAAGTCTATAATGGGCCACACCTCATGACCCCAGTGCGGCTCTTCCTGCCCCAGGGCCCTGTCCCCATGCTTTAATAAAAATCACCTTTTTGCACCAAAGACATCTCAAGAATTCTTCCTTGGCCATCGGTGTTGAGCCCTAACTCCCTCTTTCCTACATCAGAAGCAGCTGGAGGTAGGTGACTAGCAACTTGGGGCGGGACCTAGGGGGACCCTGTGGCAGGGACCTTCACTCCCACTCCACCCAGTCTTGCCAAGTGCGCACACTGGGGCCACAGCGCGAGCACCCCGGTGACCAGGTGGAGAAGCAGCAGTGAGCACACAGGGACAAGGGCAGCACCTCCCAAGTCCAGGACAGGTGTCCCTTTCCACCTTCATCTCCCCCGTCCCCCTTAGAAGTGGGAAGAAGGAAGAGGCCTGAAATGAGCGAGAATCCGGAGGTGAACCTGAAGTCAACTTGCCTGGACACTGTGTTCCTGAAGGTGTCTTTAAGAATCTGGAAGGAAGATGGGACTGAGCACGGAGGAGAGACAAAGAGAACCCCACTGCCCACGTGCGCTCCTCGGGGTGGGGCCAGCCGGCGGCAGCGGGGACAGATTGCCGCTTCTCCCTCGCGGGGTCGTGCTGGGGGCCGCAGGAGTGGGCCAGGCGCTGGGGACCCGCAGGGCCCCAGGACGGCCTCACTACGGGCCTCGCTACATGCTCTGGGAAGGAAAGGGTTCGTGGACAAAAAACCCTGGGGCCAGGAGTTGGGGGGGGGGTCGACGGGACGGACGGAGCAAGCCCCTTCGGTCTGTTACTGTGGGGCGGGCCGCGGGGGACCCTGCGCTCTTTTATGCCAAAGCGTCTCCCAGCCTGCACGAAAAGGAGCCGCGTCTGGGCGACAGGGGTGGGCGCAGGCTGCGGGGGGCAGGACCCCTCGGGGTCCCGCTGGGCCGCGCTCTGGGGCAGAGCTGCACGACCCTGGCGCGTTCCTCCCGCTCCCCTCAGCCCTGCGGAAGCCTCCCCAGCCCCGGGGTCCACCGCAGCTGCAGGGCGTGCGGAGGGAAAGCCGGGGTCTCCATGGCAACGTTGACGTCACGGGCCCGAGGCTGGGCGCGCCGCCTCCCGCCCCCACCCGCCGGCCTGGCGCGGCCCCAGCCGGGCTCCGCAGCAGCTGGGGCCGCAGGGGCGTGGGCGCTGCCACCCCGCCTTCTGACCCGTCCCGTCCGCGCCGCCACAGGCCGACAGGTGTGAGCCAGGCCCGCCGCGTCCCACCTGCCCGCCCCTTTGTCCTCCAGGGGCTCTCCGCGAGCTGCTCGCTGAACAGACCTGACTTCCTGTTCCGTCCACGAGCAGCCCCTCCCCCGGGGAACGGCCTGTTGAGAGGAATGCGGGAGGCGGGGTGCGGCGCCCCCCTCCCCCGCCCTCCCGGACTCCCGTCCGCCCCCCTCCCGTCCACTCCACAGTAGAGGGGGGTGGTGCGCACTCGAACAACTCTCAAAGTATCACGCACCCCTTCCCCACCGCTCTGCCTCCGCCCCCTGCCGCTCTCTCCCGCTGCTCAGACCCCCACTTCCTCCTCCTCCCTTCTGCGAGTCTCTGCCTCGCCCCTGCCACGCCCTGCCTCTGGGCCTCCGCGCGGGCTCTTCCCACTGCCTGGAAGGCGGTTCCAGGCTCCACCTGTCCCGCGCGCGGGTCCTCTGGGGCTCTTCAAGGTCGGGGCACCTTAGCTCGGTGCTGCCCCCTCTCGGAGGCGCTCGTTCCAGCAGCCTGCCCCTCCCTGCAGCTCCCTCCGCCGCAGTCATGAGACGGCTTGTGGGATTGTCGGGGGCTGCCTCCTTCCCCAGACTGCAGGGGGTGGAGGACGGCCTTTGCTTTATTTACTCCTGAGTCTGCAGCACACAGTAGGTGTTCGATACATTAAAAATAAATAGCCTTATTGAGGGGCGCCTGGGTGGCTCACCGACTCTAGATTAGGGCTCAGATCAGGATCTCTGGGTAGTGGGATGGAGCCTGGCCTGGGGTTCCAGGCCCCGTGGGAAATCTGCTCCAATTTTCCTTTCTCCCTCTGCCCCTCTCCCTGTTCTTTCTCCTTCTCTCAAATAAATAAAAAAAATTTTTAAAGCCTACTTGAGATATAATTCACTGACCACACAACCCACTCAAGCACAGCGTACAGCGGGTGGTTTTTAGTGTACTTGCAGCATTGTGCCGGCATCACCACAGGAAGGAGAACGTTTTCTTCACTCCAAAATGAAAGCGGGGCCCCTGCCTGTCCGCCCAGCCCCTCGGCCCTGAGCAGCTGTTAGTGGACTTTCTCCATCGATGTCTACCAAGCTTTCTCTCCTAAATGAATATACTACCCTTCTTTCAAAAAATCAGTTAAAGTGGACAGGAGCTTGCTTCCAGAGGGACTGGGGGCTGGACCCTTGAACCCCGCAGCTCTGCAGGTCAGTTCTTTAAGGGCCTCCCCCCAGGCTGGGCACCTGAGAGAACTTCCCTCCCGGGGTCGCTCACAGGCAGCTCTGAGGCCGCCTCTCCATCCCCGCATCCAAACCGAAACCATGTTCTCCCTGCGTTAGGCTATTTCAAGTCCTGGACTCTTGCTGTTCTCCACTTCATGGGCTCCGGGTTTATGGAAGTTTTAGAACTGTGCTGTCTGTAGGAGAGCCAGATATGGCTGCTGTGGAGTGCTTGAGATGTGTGTGACTGGTCCCAATGGAGATGTGCTGGAAATGTAAGACACACAGAAGACTTTGTACAAAAAAAAAAAAAAAAAAAAAAAGAATGTGAACTATCTCAGTAAGTTTTATATTAATTACATGTTGAAATGTTATTTGGGGTCTGTTAGGTTAAGGAAAATATATTGTTAAAATTGATTTTGCCTGTTTCTTTAAAAACTGTGGCTACTAGGACATTTTTTTTTTTTTTAAAGATTTTTGTTTATTTGTCAGAGAGAGAGAGAGAGCAAGCACAGGCAGACAGAATGGCAGGCAGAGGCAGAGGGAGAAGCAGGCTCCCTGCCAAACAAGGAGCCTGATGTGGGACTCGATCCCAGGACGCTGGGATCATGACCTGAGCCGAAAGCAGCTGCTTAACCAACTGAGCCACCCAGGCGTCCCACTAGGACATTTTATATTATATATGTGGCTTGTATCCTACTTCTCTAAGACACGGCTTAAGACCCTGGCTTGTCTTGAACCGCCAACACCAGGGGAGATAGCCCCCAACCCCATGCCCATGATGGATACCATGGGAACTCCAGGGGTACGAGAGGCTTACGAAGCATGGCCACCCATAAAAACAAAACAAACAAAACGAAAACCCATGAGAGAATCATTGACCCACTTCCCACCTCTCCTGTGGCCATGGTTGGGGGTGGGTGCCAGAGAGGAGCTGCCATAGTGGACAGATACCCTGTGCTCTGTACCCAGATATCCTGGTGCCCCGTTCCCTGAGCCTCTTTCCCACGGGATCCGGCAGCCCCTTCTCCTCCCTGGCACATCGGAGAAGAGACACAGCCTGGCGTTTTCGAGGAACAGCTTGTTGTTCCTACCATGACATGGAGAGGAAACACAAACAGCCAAGAGGCCTATTGCCAGGGGCTTGGTGGAGACCTTCTCTCCGGTCCTCACCCTCCCGCTGCTGTGGAGATGAACACAGGTGCTCTGGGGAAGCTTTGTCTCTAGAGGTGTGTCTGAAGGGCAGGGATGAGGGGATCAGGAACCACATGGCCGCTGTCCCTGACAAATCTGAGAAGATGGCTCAGGCCAACCTTACTCAGCATTAGAGAGGGCGTGGGTGGGGGTGAGGCGGCAGGAGGGCAGTATGGAGGTTTTCAAGGCCCTATCGAAAGCTGAAGAGCTACACTGAAAAATAAAGCCAAGTCAGAGGTCCCGCTCTATACAGCTGCGCGGGTTGTGCATGGAACAAGCATGCCACATTTAAGGGCATTTGTGTATGTATAAAGACAATTTTCCAGCAGATGGCAGTAGAGTGTTTGAGGAGGGGACAAAGCTCCACCGGGAGGCGACTTGGTGAGGATGGGCAAGTACCGCTTGGCTAGAAGTCACGGTGGCATTGGCACCCGTCTCCCTCCGAGGCCCAGACCCAGCAGAGAGGAGCAGCAGCCAGCTTTCCTGTAAAACCTGCTTTTTGGATGTCGTTTTTCAAAACAAAGGCAAAATTCATGCAACACGCACCATTTTAAAGAGGCATTTAGAACAATTACGTCTTGTGTGATCACCACCTCTCTCGTTGCAAAAAATTTTCATCACCACCAAACAAAACCCCATTGCCATTAAGCGGTTGCTTCCTAGCCCCCAGTAAATACCAGTCTGTTTTCCCTTTCCATAGGTCTGCCTATTTTGGATATTTCCTATAAATGGAACAAAACAATATGTGGTCTTTTGCGTCTGGGTTGCTTTCCCGAGCATCACGTTTTCACGATTCACCCGTGTTGGAATGAGTATCTATAGTGCATTCCTTCTTGCAGGTAGATAATAGTCCGTTGTCTGGATTTACCTATTTATTACCTGGTCAGGGACATTTGGGTTGTGTCCACTTGATGCCACTTTTTAAAAAAGTTTTTAAAATTCATTTGAGAGAGAGAGAGAGAGAGAGAGAGAGAGCTCATGAGTGCGGCCGAGGGAGAAGCAGACTCCCCACAGAGCAGAGAGCTTGAGGACCCGTGGCTGGATCCAGGACCCTGGGATCGTGACCTGAGCCAAAGACAGAGGCTTAATGTACTGAACCCCCCAGGTGTCACCTGTGCAGTAAATGATACAGATCTGAAATGTGGAGCTCCATGAGCGTTTAAACACCCGTGTGACTGCAGATCAAGAAGCCGGGCATTTTCATCACCCCAGAAAGCTCCCTCCTACCTTCCCAGTCAATAGCACATCCTGCCCCTGGGTTATCAACAACCTCCGTTTGACCTCCATAATCACAGATGCCTGGTACCTGTTCATGAACTCAAGTAAACGGGATCCGGTGGCAAACCCTCACTGATGTCTGGCTCCTTGCACACACGGAATGTCTGTCCAATTAGTTCACATCACTGTGGGTAGCGGTAGTTGGCTCTTTTGTCCTTTTCTGCAGAATTCCATCGTAGGACTGTGTCACTGTATCTATTCATTCTCCTATTGATGGGGACACCTGCGCAGTCCCGCCACGTGACTCCCCTGCTTTTTTACTCTCCTCTCAGTGGGTATTTGGGCGGCTTCCAGTTCCTTGGCGGTTACGAAGAATTCTGCTGGAAGTGTTCTCGTTTACATCTCTTGGTGGACACGAGCACTCAGTTCTCTGGGGTGTACGCCCAGGAGCGGGGTTGTGGGGCATATGCCCAGGGTGGGGCAGGAGCTTAGCTTTAGCTGAAATGCTTTCCAAAGAGGGCAAACCAATTTCCACGCCTGCTGGCCACGTAGGAGAGCTCCCGTCAGGTGCCACCGTCCAGCTCTAAACACGAGTGCAAGCGGATTCTGGGGTCCCCAGCTGTAGACTCCTTCCAGCTTGGCTAGAGCGGACGTACCTGGTGGCCGTGTAGGGAGGCGCCCCCAGGGAAAGCAGGCCTCAGAGCCCACTAGGAGGGAGACATACCAGCCCCGCTTGTCCTTGAGAACTGCTAAGTCTAGGCCCTTCGAAGCCTGACATGGGGAATCCGCCGAGAAACTGAACCCGATCCTTGACTCCTTGCCGGCCTTCCCTCTGTACCAGTCCCATGTCCTGCAGTTTGACTCCTAAGTTCCTCTTGAATCTGTTTTTCGACATGGTCCCTGCCGTGGTCCCAGCCCCATCCATCCACCAGGCAGCAGCGCGGAGATGTCCCCCCAGGGCTGCTCCCTGTGCGACCTTGACCAAGAGACCCAGCTTCTCCTGGCCTCCACTTCCCTATCAGGCAAGAAGGGTCATAGTAGGACACAGTAGGGGCTACCTAAGTGTTTCGTTAGAAAACGGATGGATAATTGCAATCTCCCTGTCGTTCAGAGCCCGCAGGACGAATCCCAGACTTGGAAGTGTGAACAACAGAACACGGGCTCTTCTCACTCCCATCTTTGCCCTCCAGTGGTGGGGTCTAGGAGATGCTTTCACCTGGAATATATGACCGTGACCTTATTTGGAAAAGAAGTCTTTGCAGAGATGATCCCGTTAAAGACCTGTCCATGAGGTCATCCTAGGTCATCCAGGTGGGCCCTACACCCAGCGGCAGCAGTCTCGGTAAGAGAAAGCAGAGGGTAAACAGACGCAGGAGTGGGGGTTGGGGTGAGAAAGGCCGAGAGGCTGGGGGAGCGGAGCCATGACCAGGAATGCCCGGAGCCCCCGGAAGCTGGAAGAGATAAGGAAAGAGTGCGACCCTGCCGACATACTGACTTTGAGGACTTCTGGTCTCCCGGGGTGTGAGAGAACACGTCTTGTTTTAAGCCACTGGCTTAAAAGGGAAGACACAGTGAGGCTCAGGCGTGCCAGGGGGAGGGCAATGGCCAGACTCAGGGCCTCCTGCAGGGCAGGTGGGGGTCAAAGGGTGTGAGGCTCCCGAGCTAGCAGGAGCGGGCAGGTCCGACGAGGCCGAGGCCTGGGCTGACAATGGTATTACTCCCTGAGCCAGAGTAGTGGAGGAAGGATACCATGAAGCTGGGATGCCCAGAGGAAGAAGCACCTTGAAATCTCTCTTCCGGCCTCCCGACCCCCTCTGCGTATCCTGCATTCCCCAGGCTCCCCGAGAAGCCAGGGGCAGGGGATCCCAGGTGATGCAGAACAGAGTGAGGAGGAGGGCTGAGGACAGGATGGCTGGCAGGGCGCCCCCCCTCCTTGCATTTGGTGTGTTATGTGCACTGGGGTGAGCCAGGCCCTCCTCGGGGCGGCAAGGATCAGTGACTGAGAAGGCCGCAGCGCCTTGCACACATGTCCGCACGCACACACGCGTCTCCGCCAGGGCTGGCCGTCACGAAGCCAGGGCCCTCCGGATCCTCGCCCACGGCACCTGCTTTCCCAGTGTGGCCGGGGGCGGAGCAGCGGATACCCCATCACGTTCTTGGGCTGGCCCCTCGATGGGTGTACAGAGGCCTCTGGAAGCAAGGAGGGCAGGAACAGGGAGCAAGGATGGGGAGAGGCAGGGTGGGCAGCAAGGGTCGGAAGGGGGTGTAGGACGGACCCCGGGAGACGGTGAGGGTGCCGCTCCAGTCTTCTGGAGAGAGACGAGGGGCTGGCTTTGGGTGAAGGAGGTGGACGTACAGATGGGTAAGGAGTCGCTTCTGAGGGCTGGCGATGGCCTGGACATGGGGCGGGGTGAGCGATGGGGCCACTGGGCTGGGGTCTTAGTGAGAAAACGCTGGAAGGCAAATGACTCAGGAGAGGGGTGGAAATAAAGCTCCCAGGATGCACTGAACCCCTCTTAGGGGGACATGTGGGTGCCAGGGCAGCTGGATGGATGGTTCTAGGCTGTTGAACTTAGAGCAGCTTCCGTAAACCAGCAGCCTCTCTGCTGCCCAGAGGTCCTAGGAGGGCCCCACCCAGACCCTGGAAATCAGAATTTGCATTTCCTGAGACGCCCAGGTGAAGGAAAGGCACACGGGTGGAGAAGTTCTAGACTAGAGCTGCCCTAGGGGCCCTGAGCATACAATGGCTGCCTGGGGTGTCCCCCGGGGGTGTGATTCTTGTCCCCTGGGGGTGCGATTCTTGTCCCCAGGGAGTGTGATTCTTGTCCCCCCGGGGGTGTTCTGGTTGTGAGGGCTGGGGGAGGCCAGCGGAGGCCAGGGACGCCGCCCAACATCCTAGGATGCCCAGAGTGACCTCATGACAAAGGGGGATCTGGCCCCACATGTCAACTGCGCCGCGGGGAAGGAGCCCGGGACACCCAGGAGTCCTGACCTGCACCTGGGTCTTATCCCCTTCCCACCCCCACCGAAAGGCTCCCTCGAAGCCACACAGAAAGGCCAGATGTCAATGAGTCACTTACAGTTTATTTTTGCCTGAAAGTATTTCACATCTCTGAACACAGCTACGTGACAGTAGTATTAACCATCAGGAAAAGCAACAGTGCGAAGGGAAAAGGTGGCATGTCTCGGTTCTTTTTTTTTTTTTTTTTTCTTTTTTAAAAGTTTTTTAAAGTTTTTTTGTTTTGTTTTGTTTTTTGTTTTTTGTTTTTTTTTGCTTCTGCTTCTTCCTGCACCAGAGTGCTATAAAGTATGGGACCGGAGGGGAGAGAATAAAACCAAACAACAGAAAACAACAACAACAGAAAAAAAACAAAACAAAACAAAACACGAAACAGAACACACTCACACGCACACACAAAATAAAACCTGGCACGTAAAATGAATTAAGACTGAAACCCAATTTCTTTTTTTTTTTTCCTTTTTTAAAAAAATGAGGGCATAGTCGGGGGGTAATAAAGTCTACCTAGCAAAGTATAAAACGACAAAAGCATGGTTTCCATTGAATAAGATTAAATATATATAAAACAATTACATTGACCGGGGGTTAGGTCTGGAGGTGCCAGAGGGGGGCGGTATTTGTGCTAAACCAACAGAAAAGGGGGCTTGGGGGGAGAGGGGACCCCAAGTAAACCATAAAAGGGCTGTTCTGTACAGTGAGGGCATGTTAAGAAAAAGCCAGACTGTTTACAAAAGAAATGGAGGTTGGTTTGTCTTCGGGACCGGGGTGGGGACAGAAGGGGTATCTGCGCCGCAGTGGTCACATTCATGGGGGGCAGGGCGGGCAGTCAGGCTGGTGGAGGTGACGTCTCTCTCTTCTCCCAAGAGACCATGCAAAGAAGCGGGCATGCATGAGGAGACCACGCGAAGCACAGGATGGTGGGGAGGCCTCGGGCCACAGTCTTGGTGGGGATGGGGAGGGTAGAGGCCACGGGAGATGGGAGCTCTCCGAGGCAAGGGGCTGGGAGGACAGGTCAAGCACCCCTCCCACACATGTGTAAAAGGGGCTGAGAGAAAGCCGGGGCCTGGCGGGACCAAGACTACAACATGGGGACCCCACCTCCCACTTCCCCCTGACCCCCACCCGTGAGCAAGTTGGAGACACGTGGGACTTGGAAATGCACAGTGGCTGGGGGTGGCGGGGGGAGAGGGCAGACGGACGGCCGAGCATTAGCATACAGAATTCATTACAAAAAAGCAATTAATTTTCCAAGGATTTTTTTTTTTTTTTTGTCGGTTTCCTTTAAAAAAATAACAATAATACTACCACTACCCCAACAGCTGACTGGTTTGTACAGTACTACAGGCCAGGGGCGGGCAGGGTGGGAGGGCAGGAGGGAGGGAGGGAGGGTCAAAGACTTCATAAATAAGAGGCAGGTCCCAGACCTGCAATTTGTCAACATTTCTTAAATAGGCGCATTATTTAAATCTTATGTACAACAAGAATCACTTTGCATAGCAATGGCGAGGACACAGGACGGTAGGATGACATGTCTGGGTTTTCTTGTCCCAATGGCAGGGGGCTGAGTTCTCGGTCGAGCCTCTGAGGAAGAAAGCATCCTTCCTCAGCCCTCAAGGCCCATCGGGGTCGTGTGATGGTGGCATCAGGGTTGACTTCTCCCACACAGCATTAAACACAAAGGCAAAGAAAATCCACAAAGGGTCCCCCCTCCCCAAGCCCCCCACGCCCACCCCACCCCCTCCCCCGACCCGCTGATGCTCCTCTGGTTGCTACAAAGTCCATTTTAGATCAGGTCAAGGTTTCCAATTATGAAGCTAAAAGAATTAGGTGGGGCTGGGCGTGCGCACGGCCCCCCTCCCCACCCCCTCCCCCCTCCGCCCTCCGCCCCCAGAAAGATTCCCCCATCTATCTCACAGCCAGGACGCTGGGGGTAGGACCCCAGGACTGGTGCTCTACGGCTATTAGTCAAGAGTCGTGTGTTGCAGCTGGGAGGTTCACCAGGCTTCCGTGTAGCGGACGTCCACCTCCTTCAGATTGGGAAGCTTGGCCTGTGGGGCGGCAAGAAGGAGCCGGTCCCTTCCAGCACCAGGCCCCGCGGTGCCTGGCTCCCCTGCCTCAGTGGCTGGGGGGCCCACCTTGCCCTCCCCACCTTGCCAGCGGGTGCTCCCTGGAGCTCAGAGCTGGGTGACCTTGGGGAGAACGCAATACATGGGGGTATGGCCCAGGTGACAGCTGCTGGGGATTCCATGGCCCCCTCCTCTGACCGGCCATGCGTCCCTGACTCTGGAGTAGGCGGGAAGCCTGGGGCATGAGCCCAGCTCTACCACTCTACCCAGGTCCCAAAGGACCCGGGGCCGTGCCCCCAGCCTCCAGGAGCCTCGGGTGTCATCTGTGCAATGAATGGGACCCAGTCCTCCGCTCCCAGGATGGCGCTAAGGACAGGAACAGCGAACACACAGTCCGCCCTGCCCGACACACAGCGGTATGCTCCAGGGACGGGGGAACATTCTCCCTTGTCGTGCTGTTTACATCCCGTCACTACCAGCAGTCGGGCAGGCGAACGGAGCAGGATCACAGGACCATGGGATCCCCGTCAGGGTCGGTACTGGGGGGCGGCGGAGGGTCTCCCCCGCAGGACACTCGGTCAGATCCGACGAGACTAGTTCACCTGCTACGGCTCAGAGCCGCCTCCTGCGCTCCGTCCCTGCTGCCCAGACACGGCTCCTCTCTTCCTTTATAAACAGCGGCTTTTTCTCCACAAGCCCGCCCTGCGCAGAGAGGGCTAATGGCTCTCCTCTCTGCACTCCTGCCTTCCCTCTCCCATGTGTACCCGGCCCGGGCGACCTTGCACCGCACGTGCGTACACACGAGTGCACAGCTCCTCGGTGCTTCTGTCCTGGGGCCCGATTCACGGCCCCCTGCTGCCCAGGCAGAGGTGACACACTGGGGGCCTGCAGTCACCCGTGCAGCACTGTAAAAAAAAACCTTTAAGCCAACCTCACAAAATCAGGAGACCGCAACACAAGGAAGTGGTTCCAGGTTCTCCCGCACGGGTGGTGCGGGGGGCGGGGGGGCAGCGATCTGGGTGGCCCCAGAGGCAGGCGGGCCGCCCCCAGGCTGGTCCGATTCCCGCATTACTGAGGCTGGGGCGTCACCGGCCAGTATCCTCAAGTGGGCACCACGTGTCTCTTGAATATGTGGAAGTGACTTTTCCCCAACTGCATATGCCCTTGTGCTGCTTGGTGTCTGGATCTGGGCTCCTCCAGCTTTCAGGGGCATAGCAATCCTTGGCAGTGGGGCAAAAATGCCCATCTGGACTGGGCAGGATGCCCTGGAGTTTGCACCTGTGACAAGCCCTGGGGGAGGTCTGACCTCACCAAGGTTGGGGGGGGGCAGGCACTGAGGCCGCTCCACCCCCACCCCCTCTCCACGCGCTCCTCAGGACCCCTGGGACAGCCCTCTCTTCTGGCCGGCCTGGCCAACTCGTTTCTTAAGCCCTCCTCTTGGGAAGGCCCTTCTGTCCCACTGAACAGGGCTGGCTGTCCCCCGTGCCCTCCCTGTTGGTCCCCAAGCCCTGTCCTGCCTGGGTTACTATTTATCCGTCTGCCAGGACTGAGCTTCCGCCCAGGGTGTAGGGACGGACCCAGAAGCACTGTGGAGTCCCTGCCCCCAGTGTGGGCCTGGTACACAGTAGATGCGCGACAGCGGCCATGGGTCTGCCTGAGCGGGAGGTTGGAGGGGTTCCCCTGCTGGGGAGGATTCCCTCCGAGTGGCTTCCTGCGTGCGAAGGCGCCAGTGGGCTGGCGGGACCATCTGGCCACCTGGCCCAGCCCTTCCGTGCTTGGCACTGGCTACCTGCAGCCCGCTCCCGCTCACGGCCTGCTGGGGCAGGTGGGACCAGGCCCACTGGGACGGGGGCAGGAGGCTGCTGAAGGCCCAGCTTCTCCAATCCCTAGGACCTGTTTTACAAACAAAATGTGCCCTGCCTTTCCCCACTCAGGTCCTTTTTCCTTTCCCCAATTTTATCTTGCCAACCTAGCGCAGGCTGCCAGTCCAGCTCTTATCTGTGTGACGGCACCAGCCCCACTGATGTGCTTCCTGTTTCTACCTCCCGCCCCCACACAAAAAAATCCGTTTTCCTGGTAACGGCCAGAACAAGCGCTTACACGCATCACTCACTCCACTGTTTAGAGCCTCTGAAAGCTTCCTACTGAACTTGGATGAAATCCGGGGCTCTTCTGTGACTGATGAGGCCTTATTCAGTCTGGCCCCAGTCTGTTCTCTCTCACTCTCTACTCACATCAGCCACAAAGTCAGCTCATGCCAACACTTTCTGTCTCAGGACCTTTGCACTTGCTTTTCCTCTCACCCTTTGCATCTGTGGCTTATCTTTTAGGTCTCGGCTGCTGTGGCCTCTACTTCAAAGGGACCATCCTTGATGATCACATGCCAAACAGGCCCTCCCTATTTCCACCCGACCCACTGCCTGCTGGCCTCCTCGTTATCACTCCTTTCAACCTGCCCTTACTCTGTTTACTGCCTTATCTACTGCAGTAAGAGCCGTTCCTGCCGGAGAATAAGCTTCATGAGGGCGAAGCACCAGTATCTAGATGCTGGTGGATGGAGGGAGGAGAGGAGAGAAGGAAGGAGGGAGGGAGAGAGGGAGGAAGTACCTTTAGATCTTCGTAGGTATCCGCCGAGAGCTTGGTGCTGTTCATATTCAAGCTGCAGAGACTCTTCATGGCTGTACAAGGACAGAGAGATGCCATCACGGAATCAGTGAGACCTTCCCGCCCAGGGCAGCTGCAGGGATGGGGCAGACAAGCCAGGGGACTGACTGCAGTGGCCCAGGCCCCTGATGAGCAAATGGGGTGGGGTGAGTGGCGTTGCAGGGGCGTGGCCTGGGGCCACCAGGACAGAAGGTCAGTCTCAGGCGGGCGCTGGCCTGCGCCTATGCTCTCTCCCTGCTCTCTGAGCCTCTCTCCCTCCTGGTCTCTCTCTCACGCCCTCCACTGCCTGTACCCCAAGTGTCCCCAGCGCCTGCCCGCCACACCGCAGATCAGCCGCAGTGACCAGGCCTGGCCCGTCCCCCAGGGGAACTCTGCAAACTCTCCGGCAGGGCTGTCCCAGGCCCCAAATTCTTGAAAGCGGGTCTCAAACTGCGGTTTGGTCAGGAGCCGCTCGTCAGCGGTGCGATGCTCTGCCCCACTCCTGGGGGCACCGGTCCAGTGACTGGGGGGCTCCGATGACAGTATCCAAGGAGCACATTTGTAGAGAAATGTCTTCAAACCTCATATTTTCTGCCCTCCATTACTCCTGCCTCCTGTCCCCACCCCTCCCAAGCCATATGGAATTTGCCAACAACCTCGCAGGAGCCACGGCCACTGCCCAGCATATCATCTCCTCAGCCACTTCCTACATATGTCTCTTTTCCACCCAGATCCAGTCACCTCCCTGGGAAGCCTTCCTCGATTCCTCCCAGCCAAGACTCGGGGCCCCTGATCTTAACCAGCAGGTCAGAAACGGGAAGTGCAAATTCCCAGGCTCAGCACCCAAGAGTTTAGTCTAGGAGATAAGGGTTGGGGTATGGGAATCAGCATTTCTGGGCTCCCTGAGTGTGAACGTGTACAAGTGGGGGGAGGGGCAGAGGGAGAGAAGCCCAAGCAGACTCCCTGCTGGGGGCAGAGCCCGATGCAGACATTGATCCCACCACTCATGAGATCAGGATCCGAGCCAGAATCAAGAGTTGGACGCTTAACCGGCTTGGCCACCGAGGCACCCTTTCTATCAGGGCAATGTTTCTCAAACTTGAACAATGCAGGGAATCCCCTGGGCATCTTGTTAAAATCGAATCAGCAGGTCTGGGGCGGGACCTGAGAATCTGTGCCTCTAACCGCAGCGGGTGGCTACCGCCACTGGTCAGGGCAGCTGGGCAGCGATGTCCTAGAGCACTTTCCTTGAACCTGCTTCCTCGGGCAAGTATCTGGAGGGCACGGGTACTCATTTTCCCTTTTGCTTCTAGAATATAAGCTCCCTGAGGGCAGGGATGTTTCCCCTGCTGTGCTGTTCTTAGCACCTAGAACAGTGCCTGGCACACAGCAGGTGCTCAGTGACCACGTGGGGGATGGAGGACTATATCCCAGCACCCGGCACAGTGCACGGGGCAGTCCGTGCTTAGCCGGGGTGTGCTAATGCTCCCTCGCATGCATGCCGGCCGGAGGCTGCCCACCCCGGCCGCGCCCTCGGGACTCACAGCTGAGGGCCAGCAGGCCGGCGTCGGTGACGGGTGTCTCACACAGGTTCAGCACCTGGAGCATGGTGAGGTGTTCCGACAGGAGCCGCAGGCCGGCGTCTCCAAACTGTGGAGCAGAGACCCTCTCAGCCCTGACGCTCCACCAGCCGCCCCCAGGCCCCTGGAGAAATGACCTTGAGGCTGGGGTAGCAGTGGACAGATGAGGACGGAGTCACCACCCTCCAAGCCCCAGGGGGCGGGGGGGTCTGGGCTGCCCTTGCTTCTCTCCAAAGACAATGCTTCTCTTGACTTGGGTTCGAGTCCAGTTTCTGCTGGTGGGATGTGGGCTGGGCAAGGGCCTCCCCAGGACTCCTGCTCTGTCAGGGAGGGCTGGGAACTCAGTGGCTACGGCTCCAAGCGGGGGCCAGCAGCTTTTCCCTGGGCAGGACGGTGGGATGGGGTGGGACGGGCCTGGAAAGCAGACTGCCAGGAACACCCAGTTTCTCTTCTGTCAAACGAGGGTGCCTACCCGTCCCAGGGATGGTGTGGGGACCACACGCCTTGCCACACGAGGGGCTCAACAGCACAAGCAATCCTGAGACAGGTAGCGAGCAGCTATGAGCTGTGGTTGTCGTTACAACGAGGCCCACGGGCTGCCACGTGCTCCCCGGGCTGGTGCGTGAGACCAGCCCACCTCTCGGCCCTGCCTCACAGGGCTTCTAACACTTTGCCCAGGACATCCCTGCCCCGGGCCTCAGCAACTCCACCTGCAAAATGGGCTTCCTGAAATCCTAGACCTCCTCTGGCCACGGGAGTGGGTGCTGAGCAGGGAGGGGCTGTGGTAATCCAGAGACGGGGCCATGGGCTCTGGCCAGAGAGGCCAGCCAGGGAGTTAGGGGTAGAGCAGGTGCAGCGTCGGGGTGCCTGGGGGCAGGAAGGCAGGTGCAGGGGCGGGAGGGAGCGCGGAGCAGGGAGCAGGCAGGCGGCGCACCTGAGTGGACCACAGGTTGAGCTGCTTGAGAGAAGGCAGTTTGATGAGGTGCTCCGCGCAGGCACTGGTTACGTTGGTGAAGGCCAGACTGAGGTTCTCCAGGTTCCCGAAAGAGCCGGAGCTCAGCAAACGAGCCAAGTCGGCGTCCTGCAAACACACGGGCAGGTGGGGTGTCGGGAAAGGCCTCGGGCTGCCAGCAGCTGAGACCCCATCGTACCCCTCTCCCCGCCTCCTCTCCCCGGCCCCGCAGAAAGCTATAACTGGGGGCAACAAATCCCCAGGAGGTGGGGTGACACCGTGGCTCAGTGGGGGGGGTGTTTGGACCGAGGGGGCTGTCGGGGAGGGAAGGGCTGCTTCAATGTCCCCGTGGGGGGAGGGAGGAAGCTTCCAGCGCCGTGACTCACAGCCTGAATCACCAACTGGGGTGTTCTGAGGCCACGTCCCTCCCATGTGTGTGCGTGCGTCCATGTGCGCCTGGCTAACTCACCCTCCCCTGCAGCAGCTCAGCCCATCTCCCACCTGCGATCACCGAGGTCCCCCCCTAACTCTGAGGCCTGTGTAGATCCGTGCATGTGTGAGTACTAGACCACGAGGTCACCGAAAGTAACAGCCATTCTCCCTTCCACCTTAGTGACGGAATCCTTGAGTTTTAGTGGTCACACAGCTGCCCTAATCTCCCAGCCAGGTGTGGCCACGTGCTGAACCTGGACAATGGTACATGGGGAGATGTGTCCACTAGAACTTTCAGGAAAGCCCTTAAAGGGAAGGGGCATGTTCTTCTTCGCTCTTCCTCCTTCTGCTGGTCTGAATGCAGACATGATGGCTAGAGTTTGAGCAGCCTTTTTGAACCATGAGGTAGAAGTCTTATGCCAAGGACAGTGGGGCAGCAGGAGAGATGGGACTAAGATCCGTGGAGACTTGTAAATGGGGGTAAAAAGAGGCACCAACTTCATAGTATTATTACAGTGATAAAATGAACTCATAACCCAGTACTGGTACCTAAATACTCCTTGGATGTTAGCTATTATTATTATTAACTGGTAACACATTAACATCGGTTTCAACAATAATCTTTACCATGTTTGGCTTCCGGCAACCCAAATCCCTCCTGGAAAAGGTGGCCTGTCAAGGACTACGTTGTCCTTGTTCACCACCAGACACTGCTGCTCTCCAGCAGGGAGGCCTAACCACCTTCTTCCTTCCCCCCGGCCCCACAGAAGAATGAAACCAACTCACTGTGGACTTGGAGGGCAGTGTTAGCCTAGTGGGCCCGCCTTTCCTTTGCTGCAACAGAAACCAGACTGATTACGACCCATTCTTTCCCCGGCACACCCCGTCCCCGCTGACATCACACACAGCCAGGTTCATTTCAGGGCGGTAGAAGGCAACATGGTGGTCTTGGTCTCGGGCCAGACCCTGAGACAAGGTTGGGGCTCAGTTGGTTTATTAGAGAGGAGATGCCAAGAAACACCAGCAGGGGAAGGGAGACAGTGAAGCCGCTTCAGGAGGGGAGTGTTAGCATATAGCTACCGCTGGGGCCTCTGGGTCAGGTGTCAGAGGTAGTCCCGTCTGCGCGGAGGGAGCTGGAATATTGACACACCCTCCCCTATGAGCCACCAAATACAGCTGCTACAGGGACCAGCGGAATGAGTTCGCTGCCACTCTGAAGTCCAGCCCTGGCCCCCTTCAAGAAGGGCCTGAGGGACACGGGTGACATACAGGAAGGGCGACAGTGACCGGCGTGCAGGACTCGGCGGGTGAGGACGTGGCACGTATGGTCCCGACTTCCTTGGGCCTGGAGGAGGACTCACTGGGACAGCGCCCCATGCAGGTGCGGTGGTCCTGGGCTCCGCCCCGGTGTGCCCAAGCAGAGTTCCCTGCCCGGCCCAGCTCTGGAGCCGCGGAGCCGGGCTCTGGCCTTACCAGCTCCTTGAGCTCCCGCTGCCGGTCACATAGCTGCTCGTACATGCGCTTGCCCACACCCGTGCTCTCCAGGGTCGAGATGATCTGCAGCTGGGTGTCGTTGTTGTCAATGATGTTGTACTCCAGCATCAGGCACAGGATCTGCCCGGGAGCGGGAGGCACCTTACAGCCTGTCGGAGACTCTGGGCAGGGCTGCCCTCTACAGGCACAAACCCTCAGCCTGGCCCAGCAGCCCCACAGACCGGGGGACAGGGGCCTGACGGATAAGCTCTGCGTGCTCTACGCTCCCCAAAATATTATCCTAAAAACGAGCAACCATGCTCTCCCCTCTCTGCATTTCTGGCTGTGTGATACTGGGCAAATCACCAGCCACAGCTTCCCATCCATACAATGGAAACATTCGCACACACCCAGCTGAGCACAGAGCAGGCCCTCGGCAAACGCACAAAGAAAGGATGCACGCTAGGCCCTGAAGGGTTGGTAGAGAGCCCAAAAGACAGGATACCTCTTTCCATCCCTAGTCTCCCCCGCCCCCCTTTGCCTACCCCACGGTTGGTGCTCAAGACATGGTCACTGAGTTGTGGGGCGGGGAGACACCGGGCACATCCCGCCTCCTGGAGCTTCAGGTGACTGCACAGGTCACTCTGCTGCCAGCCCTCCTTCCCAGGGGCCTGGGCCTCACATGCAAGCAGCCCTGCCTCCAGATTCCCCTTCCCATGACTCCACCCCTTCCAAGGAGAGCCCACCTGGCCCAGGTCTTCATAGCATGGCTCACCTGCCTCCTGGCTCCCCCTGTCCCTGCAGGTCTCCTGCACAAGCACGGGGACGAACCTCCAGGGCCACTTAGTGCCTCGTAGGCTCTCTGGGCACATCCACCCGAATCCCTGATCGTCTGCCCTCGACTCAGCCATGCTGGTCTCCTCCCTGTTCTCACACCACACCTCCTCCTGCCGTAGGGCCTGGCCTGGACACTCTGCTCCCGCCTTCTTGGGAACTCCTTGCCCCCACATCTCACCACAAGGCTCACTGGCAGGGAAGCAGCTCTGGGGCTCAAATTCTTGGGATGTTCTTCCCGCTAAGCGGTGTTCTCAGCCACAGCCCTTGACTACAGGCTGGCGCTTGTCCTGGGAAGAACGTGGCCCAGTGACACTGGCTGACGCAGGAGGTGCGTGAGGAAGACGATATGGCGTCTGCCTGTCTGCCCTGGGACAGCGGCTCTGGGGGCCTCGGGCTCCTGGGGACTTCGGGAGGAGACAGAGAGGGACTGGGCCAGGGGCGTGCTCCCTGGTGAGTGGGAAGGCTGTGGTGTGGAGAGGGGCCTGGAGTCCCAGGTGCTCTGGCCTGCTCACCAGAGACCAGAGCAGGAGCCTGTCCGCTGAGCCCGGTAACCCCAAGACCCGTGAGCCAAACACATGAGCATCATCGTTTGAAGCCCCGCTGGGCTGGTCTGTTACAGCAACAGAAAAGCGGGACAGAAACCTCCGCTGATCCCTCAGGCCAATAAGGTCAACAGGGTCGATAAGGAGAGCAAGCGAGAGGGTAAGTCGTGTGAGGGAGGCCGCACGCTCCTGCGAGGCTCAGCGCGGGCCACGGCTACCCCTGCCTCATCGGCCGCTGTGCTCCCAGCTGCCCTAGCTCCGGGCCCCTGCAAGGCACTCGGTCCACAAGGCCCAAGGCCCAGATGGGACGGCACCGTGCCGGGGGCGCAGGCCGGCTCCTTACCTCCACCATGGTCTGGTTCCCCCTCAGCGCCAGGAGCATGCAGGGGCCCAGCTTGTTTTCCGCCAGGGAGAGCAGGAATTTTTTGGTCTTGTAACAGGAGCCCATGAGGATGTGCACCTGTGAGGAGAGACAGCCTGTGTGACAAGGAGGGGCCACCAAGGTGCTGTGGCCTGAGATGCCTGCTTCCGGGGTGCCAGGAGGATTCCAAAACCAGAAGGCCCGCCCACCTCCTGCACGGACACTAGATCTGAAATGATCATCAGACCCCTCCCCCTGCAGGGGGATTCAGAAGACCCCCCCCCAAACACATGCTCCAACACGGATGAACCCCAACGACCCGGGGCTGAGTAAGTCGGTCACAAAGGACAAGTCCGGTAGGATTCCACGCATGTGAGGCACCTGGAGCGTCAGCCTTGGGGGCAGGAAGTAGGCTGGGGGCTGCCAGGGTGGGGGACAGGGGTTAGCATTTGGGGGTACACTGCCATCACATGCAGGACAGAGAAAGGCAGGGAGCTCCGCCTCCCCCTTCCCAAACCCTCTGGGAGCTCCAAGGGGTGCTGAGTGACCGCCCGAGGGCAGGGGATCCCAACCACCGGGGCTGGGGGCCCAAACACTTCGTGTGCTCTCTCCCCAGACTTCGTGCGATAGCAAATGCCCTTCCATGGTTGGAAACGGCAGCCTAATCAAGGACCTCTCCGCGCCCTGCGTCGCCATGGAAACGAGGCACTGCCATCCCAGGGGCTGTCTGCTTCCCTTTCCATGTATATTTTTTCTGCTCCATCGTTAACAACTCTGGCACACAGACGCAATCTCTCGGGCGGGGAAGCTGCCAGCTCCCCAACTTCTCTTGCACACTGAGTCCCCGCACCGAGGGGTGGGGGACCGCTGGCTGTTGCCACGGTGACGCTGTGACATCAAGGGAGCCCTCGTGAGAGGTGGGGGGTGCAGGCAGGCAGAGGCCAGGGATGCACAGGGCACTCGAGAGGGGCCTGTCGGGCCACAGGTGAGGAGTGGAGGGCCCGTGCGTAAGGGGATCTAAAAATTAAGTCCCTTTCAGGAAAGGCTCCAGAGGCAGCGCGGGGTCTGCCGTCACTGCAGAGCTTCGTGAGCGGCTGGTCCGCCGGACGGGTGGCCCGGCAGACAGACACGACCAACCACAGCAGCTCGAGTGCTAGGCCCTGGCCGGGCGCCCGCGTCTGCAACAAGGCTCTAGACAGCGTGGGCTTGGGTCAAGGAGGGACGTGGGGGCCGGAGGCCTGTGTGACCTCAGGCAGGCCACCGCACTCCCCGGTCTGCTTCAGCATAGACGTGCTTAGGAGGAAAGGCTGACGATGAAGAAACAGTGCACATGAGCTGTCCGGCCCAAGGAAAGTACTGGAAGTCACCGGGGGTGCAGTTACTGGTTTGGTGACCCCAGGTCACTCCTCTCCAAGGTGAGACGACCATCCTGACCTTGGCCTCTGTCGGCAGAGCCCGTGCGGCTGCAGTGCCTTCTGGAACCCCGGTGCACACCAAGCCCTCAGGGGCCCATGCTGAGCTGGCCTGAGGATGCTGGGAGCTTGGGCGGGGAGCGCCTCAGGCTTCAGCACCTTGTCTTCAAGGTGCAGTCACAGTGAGTGTCACCTCCTCACGGAGCTGAGTGGGACTGTATGAGAGCAGGAGTTTCAAGCCCTTGGCTGGGCGCCTGCTCAGGTGAGAGACAGCACGTGACACCTGTGGCCGTCACCTTATTACATCTTCAGCTTCGACGCAGACTGGAAATTCCCAGGCTGGCCACCACCACTGGATTGGGGCAGCTCCCACCTCGCCAGCAGAGGCAAACCCAGGGCCTGCCCGCCGCGCCCAGTGAGGGGTCCCGCCCCACATACCATGCTGGCGAAGAGCTCCCCGTCATCGTCGCAGGCCACCCCTCCGGGGCTGTAGAGCTGAAACCAGCCGTCTTTGCCGGCCCGCACGCTCAGCAGGCACGAGTGCACCTGTGGCAGACGAGGGGCACAGCGGTCAGCCCCCGAGGGCCCAAGGGAGACAGGTCAACGGTAAAGGCTCGGACAAGTCCCAAAGTAAAGAAACCTGTTTCACTTCTAGCCCAGCGACTCCCACCTCCTACTAAATACCATGGAAGGCCTTTTGGGGAAAAGTGTGGTATCCACACACTGGGGAACTCCAGAAATACACCTTCAGCACCGACGGAAGAAGGGCCAGGCCTGGCTTGGTTAGTCGTCCTGAACACAAGCAAGTCTGAGGCCAAATAAGGGGGTAGAGAGGCTCGAAGCAACCGCTCAGACTCATCCCCTCTCCTCCTCTGCCCTTCTCGGGGGGGGGGGAGCTCTTTTTTCTCCCTTCTCCCTCTGCACCTCTAAATCCTCTCTCTGGCTTTCTGCCCTCAGCTCCCTTCCATCCTCTGTCCTGCTCGCTCTCAGGGCACCCACTGCCTCTCCTCCGCTGGAGCTCTGCACCTCCTTCCGAGTCTGTGCCTCTCCCTGGAAGGCTCTCGGTCCCGGGTGGGACAGTTTCATGCACAAGCACGGCTCTCTCTGTGGGTCTCAACTGCCTTCCCAGAGTTCCGCGTGTCAGTGTGTGGGTGGGCACATGTGCACAAGTGTGCAAACACATGTGCGTGCGTGTGTCTGGAAGGAATTCCACATCCACCCTGGCCCCTCCTATCACTGCAGAGAGAGAGGGAGAGAGAGAGACAAAGGCCTTTGTTTCTTTCCCTCCTCCCTGTCCTCGGAAGAGAGCTGAGAGATGTGTCCCATCATTTCCTTCAGGACTGAAGGACAATTTGCTGCCAAAAGCCACTCACTCGCAGACACGTAGCTGATCCCAACCCACACACAAGTAAACAGAAAAGGAGGCGGTGGGGCTTTGATTTTTCCCTTGGAGTTGGAAGAATATCAAATGTTAATTTGTCTGCTTCAAAGAAATAAGGAATCAAGAGTAGGGAACTCTATTTAGCAAATACAAACGACTTGTAACTGTGGCTTCTTCCGGAGGGAGACGTTGGGAGGGCACTCGAGGAGGAGAAAGAGAAGCAAAGGGAGAGGCACACGGGAGCCTGGAGCAAGGCCTGGTGAGGGGCGTGCTAGGGACAGGGCAACCCCAGCAAACCTGGCCCCTTGCTCACCAGTCCCCTGGGGCCTTGCGGATGGCACCGAGCTCTTGGAACGCTCCCTGCCAGCACCTGGCTCTGCCTCTCCGCTCTGGGAAGCAGCTGGGACCACTTTTATTCTTCAGCTTCAAAGTCTGTGTTTGAACTAGAGGCTCACTTTCCAGGGGAATTCGGAGAATCCGTCTTCACACACAGTGAAGGAAGGACGGTTTAGACCAGCACTGTATCCGGCCACTTAGGAACTCCCTATTGGCCATTTTTGCTTTTTCCCACTGCACCTGAGGACCACCTTGGAAATCAGGGTTTAGAATCAAGGTGTTTTAGAACCTGGTCCTTCTAGAACGGTTTTACCATGGGGCCTGAGGAGAGGATATTCTGGCTCCACCAAGGAGAAGAAATCATTCCCTCCTCTGCTCATCCTTAACCTCCCGCTTTGCTGGGGGCACATGTGTCCTGGTCTGTCCCCATCTGGAGGCCAGATCCCCTCACATCCCAGGACCCGTGCCTGCGGAGAAGGGGGCTGCGAGCTCCACGGGGCAAGGCCAGCAACCAGCTCATTCCCGCAGCCCTGTCTGGCCCCGTGTGTCCGCTGCAGAGCTGGGCACTCAACTGGCTCCGGAGCCTCACTCCCTGGGTTTGGATCCTGCCTGGGCCAGGTACCAGCTGTGTGACGTGGGGAGGTCCCACAGTTTCAGGTTTCTCCACTCTAAGAGGAGAGTACTTCCGACGTAAATGGGGGTGATGTGATGACAGGACCTACTCGTGCTTGTTGGGGGGATTCAAGGAGAAAACGCGCGTGTCTAACACACGGTGAGCACCAAAGCAAGACCAGCTGTCATCTGCGGATATAGCGGACGGAGGATGCCAGGCCACCCGAGTCCCTGTTCACACAGCCTTCGGCGGGGAAGCTGAGCTCTCCCTGAAGCCCAGATACTGGAGGGACACAGTGGCCCCTCTGGGAGGCCTCCGCCATGCTCGGGAAAGGAAAGCCGGCTCAGATCCCCGCTCCGATGCCTTTCCCAGCTTGCTGACTCTCAGAACGGTGGCCTACAGAGGATCCGCCGCTATCCTGGAGCGGGCTGGGAACCCCTGGCCAGCCTGGCCCTAAGACAAGGCCTGTGCCCCCATAAGAAACAGCCCGTTGGTGGGCAACCACCCCTAGCTAGCCTGAGTTTCTAGGGAAGGACTGACATCACGGGCCGGGCTCCCCCATCACAAGGGGGTGGCTGTGTTCATGCACAAGGCAAGGAGCCTTTGTCAACTGTTCTGAATGCCTGTGGGAGACAAGGAGGCCCTGACAGAAGGCTACAGAAGGCTTGCAGAGGCCCACAGGCGTCCTGCCATAGCCCCGACAGGGTGCCTTTGAGGGCGTGAGGGAGGCCTCACCTCTTGTCGTGGGTCTTCTGCAAACCTCTGGATCACGTACTTGAGTTCCCTGAAAGAGACAGGGCAGCGGAAGAGTCATTCCGAGGGTCCCGGCTTGCGTGGACCACGGTGGGGGCTGAGGAGAGGGCTGGGCCGGGGAACCTAGCAGAGCTGGCCGGGGTCAGGAAACGCCCGGACGCGCCTGGACAGGTGGTGCAGGGCTTCCAAGAGGAGCCACAGCTGCCTTCCAGAATGCACGTGACCGAGAAGGGGCCAGAAGGAGGGCTGGCCACGGGGGATGGCCTCGGGAGACAGGGCGCTTGCACCAGAAGGAGGGAACCAGGGTGTTGTCCCAATACTCACTTGGTGAACTTCTCATGTGCAAGAGCCCTGCAACGGAAAGAGAGGGAAAACTGCCGTTAGTGGGGGGGCTTTTGAAACCCACCACGATCCGAAGATCGTCCTCTGGGGACGGTGAGGCTTTGTCCGATCCAAAGAATGCGGAGGAGGATGACAATGAAACACGGACATTTTGTCCCTCCTTGAAACCGCACAACAAAGGCCTCCTCTGATGAGGCAAAGATGGTAGGGAGGGGACTAGACGGAGCCCCCCGGGTCCCCGGGGCCCGCGCCTGCAGACGGCAGCGGCACTGAGTGGATCGGCCGTGACCCAGGTGTGCCTGGTAATTGTTCCTCCGCGAAGGCACGGCTGCGCTAATTACTGCTGTACATCGGGGGGCGTTCGGGGACCACTCTCCAAGTGAATTGCATCATGGGCCCACTGTCACGTGTGTCCCCGGCGCCATGGGGACAGCAAATGCGGCCAATGACGCCGCTGCTCTTCGGAGACAGCCGTGGCTCTCCGGAGTCGGAAGTCTCCGGTCTTGAGTCCTGGGCGCCCCAGGGGGAGGCCAGGCCAGCAAATGGGGCAATTACCGGGTATAATGTCCCCCTTGGAGAGCTGCATTTCATAAACACCGGCTCGTTAATCGGCTCCTGGGGGAGCCCCGAGCTGCCTCCCGAGGCCTGAGGCCTGGTTTCTCCACATCTGTCAAAACAGAGGCCTGGAGGCATTTTGGGGCCTGGTTACTCAGACAAAGCCTTCTCCTCAGGCCCTCATCGGCCACACAGTTTTCTCCCTATTTTCCTCCGGTAAATTCAGTATTGAGAGAGACGGAGGGCCCATTCCTGGCCCAGCTGGCCGTGGAACACGAGCTCCTAATGGTGGTGGGTGCAGTGAGAGTGCGTTCAGGGTATGGTGGGATGGCGCAGACGGTCATTCTGTGTGCGTTGGCCTGCGATCTCACTGTGGCTGTCGCTCAGAGAGCAGGCAGGCGGTCCTGGTCCCATGGGAGGCGTGATCAAAGTCGCTCACTTCTCTGCGTGAAGGCGTGGCAGGGAGGGCTTTGCCTGCCTTCCTAGCTCACTGAATCCTTGTAATGCTGGGGTGAGGTCATCTCCCCACTTCTTGGAGTCAGGGCTGGCGGCGCCTCCCTGGGGGTCCCACAGCGGAAGACCTCCCTCTCCCACCGCTGTCCACGGTGTTCCCGGGGGTCAGACGCCGGTGCGGGACTTACTCTTTGGGGAACGGAATGGGCTGAAGCAAGCTTGCCAGGGACGGCCTCCAGTCGTCGTAGTCGGACCTAGAAAGGGGGGCGACGGTCAGGTTCAGACAGGACAAGCAGAGGTTTACTATGTGCTACCATGGAGGGCCCCCAAGGGGGCCGGGGTCTGGCAGAGAAGCCCACAGTACCAACTCTGCTCTAGCCGCCACCTGCTTCCAGGGGGCTGGGGACACAAGCAGCTGGTGTTTCTGGGCCTGATGGGCAGAACCCGTCCTGAGGCTTCCTCACGGCAACTGAAGGGGCCCGCCCTCCAGCTCCCTGGGGTTTCATCCCACCCCACCTCTGCACCCAGGTCACCAGATTGTTGCTCCTTCTGACTTTTGAGTCAGCGGGTTGAAATCCTACCCCCAGAACCTTAGACTGTGTCTGTGTTTAGAGACACAGATGCAATGAAGGTAAAAGTAGGCTACGAGGTGCGGGGACCCTAACCCAGCGTGATTACGTCCCAATGCGGCAAGGAGACCAGGGCACGCACTAACAGAGGAAGAGGACCCTGCGAGGACCCGGGAAGAAGGCAGCTCACCGCAAGCCCAGGAGAGACGCCCCAGAGGAAACCGACCCCGCCCACACCCAGATTTCACACTCCCAGCTTCCAGAACTGCCAGCAAATAAACTTCTGTTGCCAAAGCCACCTGGTCTGTATAATTTTGCTGCAGCCAGCTGAGCTGCCTAGTAGAGGAGGCTTATGCTGGGGATGCAGAGGGATTCTCATCTTCGCCCAGAACAGAGGGGGAGATGTATAGACTGATTCATAAAAAATAAGTTACATGCCGCTTATTTGCAGCCTGGGTCAAGCCGCCCTATTTATGAGATGCTTCTCCTCCTATGTCCAGATAACAGCGTTTTAACCAAACAGTTCCCGCGAACGACAGTAACAACCACGGGAGAATCATCCTAATGGAACAACCTAGTAGCTGGGACAGAGCCGCGTGACGCCCAGGCTTTGGCTCTGTTCGCTTACTCTTCACAGTGAAGTAACTAAGATCGGCTTCACTCAACAGATGGGGAAACTGAGGCACAGAGAAGTCAACTGTGCAAGCTACCACAGCCGCGGCGGGTGAGGAATCCAATCCAGGCTTGACTCTCACCGGCTCTGATGGACGGCCGTGGAGGCCTCCGGCGGGACCAGGCACTAGAGGGTCCTGCCCACACCCCGGCCTGGGACAGACCGTTTGAGAACAGGGACACTGGCACGAACGACAACGAGAGCTGCACCGGGCTGAGCCTCCTGCAGGCCGGGGCCGCTGAGATCATGGGAGCGGACTGACCACCGCGAGTCTGTTACAGGCCAGGTGGCCGCAGGGCTGTGCCGCAGAAAGAGGTCCCAGGAAGGGAAGTGACAGCTCCCGGAGGCTGCTGTGCCATCGGCAGGGCCCCCATCCTGCCCCCCAGAACAGTTTCTGCCAACTGCCCCCGAGGAGGAGCCGGGAGGGGCAAGGGCAGGAACACGTGGGGCATGGCAGCGCCTCGGCCTGCGCACAGACGGCCTTGACCAGGCACTAGAACCTTCACACGTGCCCCTGTTAACACTCCCAGATGCCCCACGAGGCCCTGAATTCCCACAACCCGTTCTGCAGGAGGAAAATGAGGCCCACCATGTTTCCTATTTGTACAAATCACCAGCTAGTCCTCTGAATTTGACCTCGGGGGCTTCTGGGGCCGTGACCTCTTTTTGCCCCGCCCAGCGCCTATACCGGGTACAGCCCCAGACCTGGTTTCCCTGGTGGCTCTGGTTTTGGGGATTGTGTTGGAAAGCAAACCCAGAGGTAGCCAGTTCTCACTGACTGCCCGACGCCAGCCAGGTACCTCTGCAGTCCCAGTGCTTTAACCCTACCCAGCAGGGAAGCCACCGGAGCGGCCCTTCCTACGCTAAAGACTTCCGGGTGCCCAGGCGTGTACACACCCTGCCAGCAGCACCCCCGGGTGGCGCCGCACCTTATCTCCGCACCTGTTGGACTGGGCACCGGGCCAGGCAGAGGGCTGGCTCCCAGAAGAGGCCTGTTGAGCTGCGGCCCCAGCACATGTCCGAGAGACGCTGACAGGGCCTGGTGCTCACTCCCAAGTGGAAGGGGATGTTGACAAGTGGCAGAGCGTGTGTCCTCAGCTGCACACTCAAGCGTGCCGTCTGACCTGGATCTTGTCTTGATTTGGGCAGGAGGCTGGGTTCTGGCAGAAGTGGGTATCTGAACCCTTCATTCCAAGGGTCTCTGTTTGGGGGTAGGGGGGCTACAGTCGGACCTCTACTGATACCTGGCGTTGCCCACAGGAGGGGCCCGATGGGCCTGGACTGGCCTGGGCAGGGAAAGGATCCAAACCCGAATTAGGGGCCTGTGGTCCTGGGTCTCTTTTCCACTTAGGATCTGGTGTTTCTCAAGCTTCTAACCACCATCTGGGGGTGCTCCTCTGCCCCCCTGGCCTGAGGAGCTTTCTCGACATGTGTCCCTCATGGTCCTCCCAAATTGTTATCTGTTTACAGGCCACATATCTTTACTTTACACCAAAAGACAGTCGAGACCTTCTGATCCCCAGGAACCAGAAGGCACCCCCATCGACAAGGTACCGTTTACACAGCCCTCTGGTGACAGCTCTTTCCTGCCCTACCTTCCCGCAGACACACCAGTGAGAAAGTGGCAGCCTTCAGAACCCAGCTCCCGCTGTGGAAAAGAATTCCCAGAGGTGTCTGGGGGCCTGACCTCGGTCCTAACGGTGCCACCTAGGCACAAACCTGCTCGTGGACGCCTCAGGACTGGCACTTGAGGGCATCATACCTGCCTCACAGGTGACACTGAGGCCCCACCTGTGTTCAGACAGCTGGGAAGCGGGGAGCCAGGATCCGAAGCCGCGTGCCAGGTGGCCAGGCCCAGCGAGCCCACAGGCCTGTCGGCTGCACATCAGGATACGATGACCCCTTGTGACCCCATACCTGTGGGCTGCTTTTTGGGGGGCGGGAGTCACTGATTTTTGTGGCAAGCTTGTCTTCCCTTTAACCCCTCCCCACAACGGCCCTCATCTGTCTGACTCCAGCAAATCTAGAATTTTCCAGCAAATGGTTTCCTGCAAATCTAGAAGTAACAGGAGTGAACTCAGTAGACAGAGCTCATTATGAGCAGAGGCTATTCCAAACGCACATGGGGATCCGCCCCTGGACCCTCCGAGAAACCTGCTGAGCTGGACGCACTGGCCATCCCCATTCTACAGATGGGAAAACTCTCAGGGTAAGTGCTGGCCCAGGGTCACACAGCCAGGAGGAACTGGGGCTGGAACCCAGGAACCTGTGTCTGTGGTCCTATTCACTGAACAGCATGACGTCACGTTTCCTGCTCCCACCTGCCCAGGAGGCCACTTCCCTCTGTTGAAAAAGGCACTTACTAGTTTCTCTTGGCTTTAAAAGAACAAAACACATTCTGTGTAGAAATGCCATTAAGTACAGGAAACTCTGAGGGGGCTTTAAAGCGCTCATCAGTGGCTGTCAGAGGGCACGGAGCTGGGGCCGTGACAGGCATCTGCTGGCCTTCAGGACAGCAGCACGGCCTGGCCTGAGTTCACTCCTGAGCAGAAGGGGACATCGACGAACCCATTCTGTAGAACAGCGCGGGTCGCCTACGTTCCCCGGGTGCTAAGCTCAGGCTCCCCGGCCTCGAGCTCAGCCTCCTTCTTGGCGGCTCACACAGGACTGCGAGCGGGGGACACAGGCACAAAGTGGAAGAGGACAGTGGACCTCCTTTCCTGCCTCAGCTGGGCCCAGCTTCAAGCTGGCAGTTAGCTCCTGGCCCTGCTGACCAGGAGCTGGGGCTGACCAGTCTGGGGTGCACTGGTGTGCTGGGCAGAGGGCGGGTGCCCAGGGGCTAGCCAAGCCCAAGGGACGGGGTGTGGGACACCCGTGGCCAACAGAACACCTGCCACGAGCATGTGGAGAGCAGCACCAGCCACAGGGCTGCTGGACCAGGCTGGCCTGGGAAGGAAGGAAGGATGGTGATGAGGCTGGGAGAGGCCTGCCCGCCCAGCTCCAGGGAAGAAGGTGGCCAGGCCTTCCTTGTGCTCATGGAGGAAAGGGAGCTAAGGTCCCCTGAGTACTCAGTACTCCGCTGAGTATCCCAAAGGCCTCTGACGAGCTGTAGGCGTCCACCACCTGACATGCAGTCCTCCCATGAATGGAGCTAGCTGGCTCTAGAACTCCCTCGACTGCCCAATGAGGTCAGGGAAGCTGCCCAAGGTCACAGAGCTAATCGGGGGCAAGCTAGATTCGGTGAGCATAAGGCCCAGGTCTTCAGCCTCACACTGCACTCCACGGGGGGTTCAGAAGCCAGATGGCTGAGAACCACCTTTCTGTTGCTGTGATGGGCATAGGTAACACCAGAGACAAACTGGGCAGGTGAGGGGGTGGACACAGGAAATGGGGACAGGGTGGTTCCCAGGGCTTGGGGCAGCTAGCCGCTGCTTTGGCATGGCAGACACACAACGTACGCCCGGTGGAACCGTGAGCCAACGTGACAGCTGCTGCCTGAACCAGGGGTCTAAGCCGTCCCGGGGACAAGATGCTTCCTCCCAGCACCTGGTTTCCTACTGACTTCCAGAACTTCTGCATGGTGTCGGGGCAGGGGGAAAGCGCATCCTACCCACAGAACAGCAGCTGACGCCCTGGCCAGAGGGCAGGTGCGCCATGCGAGCCTTGAGAAGCCGCAAGTCCCCAGCACACTGGCCCTGACAGCTGCTCCCACACCAGCACCCAACCCGAACCCCAGGCCTCTCAGGCCACAAGCCAGAGGGCACAATGCTGTGGCCCCTGGGGTGGGGGGGTGTCAGACTCCAGCAATGCTCTGGGACTTGTCCTGGTCCCTCCGGCCCAGCCACCCTCCCTCTCCAACTCTCAGCCTTTGAAATCTGTTTCAGCCATTCCTAGTCGGAGAGCGTTTCCAAGCCCCTGAACAATCCCCACAGCTCCCGGCACCAAGCCTCCGTGTTCACCGGCGCAGCATCTGGCCGGAACAGTTCTTGACTGAGCAGTGCTGTCCTGGGCGACGCAGACGCTCGCCTCCTACATTCTACTTACACTGCCCAGTCTTTAGGACGACCCCAAGTCTTGTCTGCATCTTCCCCGAGGGCCCCTGAGGGACGAGGTGTCCTCCAACTCACATCCAGCCCAACAAGACCTCTTTCAAAATGTGGGTGTTTGCAAAAGATCAAGTAGCCGGATTTGAGCTGGTCAGAAGATGGGATGTGACCACTGCTCGCTCATGACGGCTGCTCTTTTCTCTTCCTGGACAGAAGCCCGTCCCCTTTGCCGGTGTCCTCCCAGGGGCCGGCAGCCTCCCTTCTTCCATCCCACCAAGCAGGCGATGTCACCGGTTTTCCTAGTTGGCGCTGCTCAGATGCAGAGGGACTAAGAGCGGGAGAGCAGTCGGGCCCCTCTCACTGGGCACAGGACCAGGCACGGTGTATGTGTGTGGCAAGTGTTTGATAAAAGAGAATAAAGGTGTGAGCGGCACACTTTGCCTCTCAGGTTAAGAAGTAGACTCCAAAACCCCACAGATCCGAGCCTGCTCGCTCGGTCTTGTTTCTGAGTCCACATTCTTTCCATCGTACCACCCAGCCTGGACCTCACAGAGTGATGCTGGCCTGCGCTGGGAAGAGTTTTCCTTTTTAAGGGTCTCTGGGCAACTTCCTGGGGCTTATGTTACTTTTCAAGGGTGTCAGATTCCAGTGATGCACAGGCCTTCCTGTGGGAAGGCAACTAATCGGGGGCTATGGGCTGGGCTGCCCACACTCTCGGGGAGTAGCAGTGCCTGCTCTAAGTGGGGCTTCTTTGGCCCCCACAAAGCTCTGTTAAGAGCTCCCTCCCGTTCTGTATTAGATCCTCTGTTCTTTCCTTTTTACACATAACACTCACTGGCAAGTGTTCCAGCGGGTGAGAGTGCCCTATGGTGAGAAAGGCCCTATGTCATGACACCCATTGTACAGACAAGAAAACTGAGGCCCAGGAGCCAAGAACACTGCCCACAGTTATACAGCAGGCTAAGTGAGGTGGCCACACGTCCTCAATTCACAGACAACACACGCTTCTTGTGATCCGGGTGTGCACGGAATGCCATATTGGGGCTTTTGTCCTCTCAAAGCGCTGCTGTTAAATCGAGGGGGATTTCACTCCCAACGGTATCTTAAAATAGAGGAAACACCGTTGTAATCAGCAAGTGTAGTAACTCCCACTTGCCTGGTGTCTGTGCCTTCGAGGCGTCTGCGCTGCCCGAGTGCCCAGGGAATGTCCATCTTACGCTCGTGCCTGGAGGCAGCCGTGGCTCAGAGAGGACCAAGGAACTCACTCAAGGCCACAAGCCAGCCCCTGCCTCCACAGCCCAGGACCCGGCAGTCTGACTCTGAATCTGTTGCTTCTTCTGAAGCACCATCCTTTGGAGCAGCTGGGGTGTGGGGGTCACTATGTCTGAGGGCCTCAAGCGGGCCATCGCCACAAACAGGCAGCAGGCTCTGGCAAAACGTCTCAGGTCTGAATTGTGCAGAGCCTCCCCCTGACCCCAAGGTGCAAAAGGCTTCCACAGATATAAACCTGCTTTGTGGAGAGCCCCGGGCAGGGGTGAGGTGCTCCTCTGGAAAGCAGCTAGGACTGCATCCAGACGGGGGGAAGAGAATCCGCATTTGTGAGCATGTTTATGAAGAAGGGGAAAAAATGTGTGTCAACTGCATAATGAAACGCAAATCCTTAGTGCTTAATGAGAAATCTGAGTCCGGGCCCGAGCCAGCAGAAGGCCTGGGAGTTCCAGGTGTTTATGGAGAACAGCTGGAGGAAGTAAGGGGGCCAAGGCGAGATGCGGGCGATGGCCGACCTGTCCCCGGGAGGGCTGATCACCACTCCCGGGAGAAAGCGGGGGCTGCCCCCGGCTTTAAAGAAACTGACATGCATTCTCAGCAACGCCCTCTGAGCAGAATTTGGAATTCCTCTGGCTAATGTGGCTGTGCCCCCGCGGGCCTCTGCTGCCAGGACCGCAGCGCCTCCACCCTGCAGCCCCTGGGTGTGCTCGGCAGCGACTCGACGTTCACCAGAGAGGCAGAGCCAACTGGCAGAGCTGGGCAACAACCCGGACTTGGCAACAGCCCAGCAACACTGACCAGCCCCAGGAGCCAGGTGCCCCCCTGGATCGAGGGGCCCTGGTGCCCGGTCAGTAGACAGGCACCTTTTCGCACTGGTTGGAGATGACCACACAGTCATGCCCACAATCCCTCTGAAGAGCCCACCAGCCACCACTGACTGCGCCTGGAAAAGCCGGGTTCCAGACTTGGTCCCAAGGGCGGCGCAGAGCTCCGTCTGAAGAACAGGACTTGTGGGAGTGGGGACAGGAGGCATCTGCTGGGGTCTCCAGACCAAGGGGGTCCCTTCGTCGGTGCCTCCAGGAACCAGGTACATGTGAGTTTAAGACGGGTCCGGGTGGTTCAAGTGTGAGTAAGTACAACTGGAAGGACCCCCGAGAGCCAAATAATTAAGATCCCTCCATTCAAGATGCACACAACTGAGGCTCGGGGGGTGGTGGGCGCATGGGCCCGAAGCCCCGAGCGCAGGGAGGCACCAAGCACAGCCAACCCGGGTCCCTTGTCTCCTCAGAGCTTTTCTGCACGCCCCACTCTGTCCCTGCTCACCGGGCAAGGCTGGGAGCGAGGGCACTGGGACTTGATGCGAAATGCACACAAAGTACACACAGTCATGTGCTGGCTCACAGGCATATGTGCACGGGCACACACAGCGACACACACGCATGCTCCAAGCTTGATGCACAAACGCTCACCCCGAGGGATCACGCCCAGCTGCTCAAGCACAGAAGCAGCACGAGCACAGACACGCGCACACTGGTGTGCACACACACGCAAGCGGCACTCCAGACACACACAGACCCACAGAGAAAATCCCACATACAGCCACATCCATGCAGCCTCCTACATGCAGACACACACACACTCGGGCAACCACACCTGTGTTGTCACACCCACACACAGCCAAAGCCCTTGAACACACACATGCACTCCCAAACCCAGAGTGAGCCCCTCTGCCAAATGTAAGGACATTCATACACTCGCAGACACACCTGGGGGACCACGGGCTCACGGCCATCCCGGTGGCTGGAGGCAGACGCTCACCTACACATTCTCAACCTCAGGGACACACCTATCTAGGTCACACTTATGCACACACATGAACACACACAGCCCTCTGTACATCCCCACGCACACAATCCTGCACAGAGCTTACGTCCACAGACATACACACCCCAAATGTGTGTCCTCACGTCCTGAATCTGCGTCCTGTGCGCCCATCGCGTTTACGCACACCTGCACACGTGTGCACACGCGCTGAGCATGCCCACGCTGCCCCGCCGAGCCCCGCTCTCCCGCCCAACTGGGGGCAGGCCCGCCAAGGGGACACTCACAGCAGCTTGAGGATTTCCACATAGCAGCCGAGGGTGCGGTCGGCCTGGGGGCCCAGCTCGATGCTCATGGTGCTGCAGGCGGGGCTGACCATGAGGCAGTCGATGAGGTTGGGCTCGCTGTCGTTGCCCGCGCTGGCCGTCAGCGCCGGCTTGGCAGTGCTGGTGTGCTCCACCTCCACGTGGATCTCACTGGAGGCCACGACCACCGACTTGAGCCGCGCCTCGGACAGCGTGGCTTCCTGAGACACCAGGTCCGGGCTGGGGTGCAGAAGGCGCAGAGGTAAGGTGGGCTTCCGGTCGCAGGGCTGCTGGCAGCCGTTCCGGATCTCCTTCAGGCTGGGGGAGTTGTCGCGGCTGGCAGGAGAGGGGAGAGCGGTGTGAGCACAGCCACCCACATGCGGCCCCGAGCCATCACACGGGCTGCGGGCTCCCCCGTGCCAAGGGCCTCCCCAAACCCGGAGGTGGTGCCGTGGGCTACCTGTGAGGCCTCTGCGGCCACCTCCACCGCAGGGCCTCCCCTGGCTGTCTATGAGACCTACTAAGTGCCTTGGCTTCCAGCTGCATCTGGAGTCTTGCTGCCCTTCTCTCCCCCTGGGCAGGCCCCGGCCTCACCTCTGTTGCCCCATCCCTGGCCAGGTGAGAAAGCTCAGCATCCGCTCTCCACCAGGGATCCCAGACCCCAGAATTCTAGCCTCCTGCAGTCTGCGTCTCCCTCCTGTCCAGCCCTGCTCTTGGCTGAACCCCAGGTACAGCATTTTCAACCACCTGGAAGAACGATACTCGTTAACAGGTGTTCACTGAGAAAACGGATGTATGGCATCAGTGAGGTCACATCTATGTGGGAAATGCTGGGTCAAACAATGAAATTAGGCCTCTCCACAGCAGGACTTGTCAGGGCCTTGAGGCTGGTTAAAGAACCTCCCCACTCAGTGGGAGGCTCATTAGAGTGAAGGCAACCCCAGAAATGGGCTTCCTTCCCTGGTGCTCCTGGGTGGCACAGCACGAAGGGATACCACAGACCGCACAGAGACTGAGACCTCTCTGGACGGCTGGTTTTACCATCTCCATGTTACCAGTGAGCAAAGACATTCTCAGAGGTCAAACATGGCTTGTAAGTGGATGGGGCTGGGATTCGAAACTAGGTTTCTGACTACAAAGCCCTGGCTCCTCACCACCACAGCGGCTTCCAAGATCCCATATAATCCCGTGCAGGTCCTCCTCCTCCTCCACGAGGTCTTCCCTGATGTCTTCTACTCGCTACCTCCACACTTCTATCCCCAAACTAGAGTTTTCCACCCCTGGCTGGATACCAGTATCCGAAGCCCAATTCAATCAGAATCTCTGGGTTGGGGTCCAGATACCAGTAACTCTCCAGGTTCCCCGTGTGTGCAGTCAAGGTTGAGTCCCCACTGCTCCAAGACTCCGAGCACGACAGCATGATCACAAACAGCTGCTCGTCCAGCCCCGCCCTCAACGTGCCACACACATGTGCCCTGTGCTTGCAAAGACACGCACACACTCCTTGTGCACAAGGACCGGGTAGAGCACAGATCTTGGATACAAAGCACCTGGAGGGCCCGAATTTCTCCAGCACATGCCACAAGCCAGGCCTCCGCCGAGCCCACCAAAGATGTTTAACAAATACACTTCAGACTTCGCTGGGGAAGAACGAAACCCATCAACTAAGGTCCGAGAATGCAACAGCTGATGGAAAACTGTGTGTGGTCTGGGCTGGGGCTAGAGGGGGGCAGTGTAACTATCCGTGGGTTCAGAGCTAAGTTGCTACCCAAATACTCAACACTTCATTGCCCTTCGTTTGCCTTCGCTGGGATTTAGAAGTGCATCTTCAAGGCTGTTTGGCTCCGATCGGATGATTTTCCAGCGAGCTAGGCTAACCTGGGTCAAGCTGTCTGCTCTTCTGCGAGTACATGATGTACTCACCGAGAGCACTGTGGACAGTCCCGGAGGACACAGGGTTTATCTTCCAGGGACTGACCACCAGGGTGGGATGGACTTGAGCCCAGCAAAGGTCCCCCAGCATGCAGCCCTTACGGTGACTTCCTGGAGGAACTAACAGGAAACTACTCTGGGCTCCAAGGGGGCTGGGTGGCTCTCGCCCTCCCAGGCCTCCGCCCTGGGAACCTGCATGCAATCACCCAAGGTCACGCTTGCCCCCTCCAGTCCCTCCTCCAAGTAGCAGCAGCCAGGGGGACATCGGGAAACTGACAGCTCTTCAAGTCCTGTCGTAGTCTATGTAAACCGACTGGCGGCCCCAGGCTCTCGGAATGAATGCTCCACAGCTGGAGCACAGGGCCAGCTGCACCACTCACAGCGTGGTCCCCAAGCAGCGGCACCAACATGACTGGAAACCCCAGGCCTGCTGAATCGGAATCTGCATTTTAACACGATCCCCAGGAGCAGCTCAGCAAGGGAAGCTTGAGTCCCCCCGGGCCGGGCACGGCTGCTGTCCTCCCCAACTCCATCTTTGCTTCTCTATCTGCCTCTCTGCTCTGTCACACTGTTTCCCTCCCTTCCTTCCCTGCAGTGGCCTCTAACGAGGAGCAGATCGCCTGTGCACTCTGCAAAGAAGGAGAATTCCTGGGCCCATCCAGGAAATGCTGTGTCCAGCAGTCTGCAGCGGCCTGGGGATTCCGAAGCAGGTGTTTAAGGACCAGAGATGGAAAAGGTGACTAATGCCAGCCCCATCTGCACTTCTGGGCCTTCGCACGTGCTGTTTTCGCTTCCTGGATCATCTTATTCTGCCTCTTGCCTTACTGAGGGCCAACTTAAGCTCTCAACTTAAATATCACTTCTCTGAAGGATCCCTTCCTCACCTCCCCCAGGAGCAGAAGTTCTCAACTCTGGCCACAGAGTTGATTTGCCTGGGAAGTTTAAAATGAAAAAAACAACAACAGCAAAAACAAAACAAAACAAAAAACAATGCCAGGGCCATCCCAATGAGATCAGAATTACAGTGGATGGGGCCTGGGCACCCCCCGTTTTTTTTTTTAAAGATATAAGGAGTGTTATGCTGACACAACAAGAACTTGCCAGAAAAACAGCCCCAGCCGCAGCGTTTGCCAGTGTCCTTGGTGAGAATACGCCACCACAACCGAACCCAAACTATTAAGGTGCCATCATGGACTATGGAGTTGGGAAGGGACGTGCTTCCAAATGCAACAGGGCTCTAGCACACCCGGGACAACCAAGTTCAGCTTCGTGAACTTTCCTTGTGTGACCCCAGACAGTGCCAAACACTTGTGGGGCTCCAAACAGCTCCCAGCTGAGAACCACTGACCTACATCAAGATGGGAACATTTCGAGAAACGCAGAGGCTGCTCTCATGCCCTTCAGCTACACCCCGCCTCAAAGGGGGGGGGGCG